CTACAACTTAAAAACCGGAGTAGCAGCTCTCTTCTTTCTGCACACCTGATCTGAACCTCTGGATGTTGCACAAGCAAAAGGATATTTAAGGTAACGACTGATTCTTTATACTCATTTTGGGACAACGGGACCATTCCAATAGAAGAGCACAGATCAACAGCACCGACACATTTAAAAACACCACTCAGCGATGGTGAAGCTAGTGGGACTGTTTACTTCCTGAGCTTCAACCCTGCTGGCACCTGGGGCCACAATAGCACTAAGCTGCTTAGTGGCTAGACCAGAAAACCTAGAGTGACTGTGTGTGTGTGTGTGTGTGTGTGTGTGTGTGTCTAAGTGACAGAGACCACAAGTCCTCCATACAGCTGACGATGTAAAGAAGGGCTGGGACGCTGGCTAACAGGATTAACCCGTGACACAGAGAAGGGACCTTGACAGCAAGCCGTCTTTGTCTGAATTATTGTCTGGTACATCGTTCTTCTGTTTCACCGTCCGTTGCCAGTTGCCACTTATAAGTTTTCGGCACATATTTCTATTTTAGAGATGAGCACTTGTCTTCAGTGAAAGCACTGCAGCCGTAGCAGACAACAACACATTTACCCAGGGACATGTATGACGTGTCCTAGAAAGAACTCTTCTCTCCTGCCTGAATGCATGACGAGCGCTGACGAGACCGAGCTAACGATTTTAGCTGAATAGCATTCTCAGCGTGGTTGAAAAATAGCCATTTGACTAAACGGACCAACCTCCAAACTGTTATGTAACCGGGACAATCTCTGTGGCTCCTGCACCTGTCTGAGACTGTTGAGCTTCACCAGCAACTGTATCTGAGAGAAATGTTTTGAAAGGAACACAGAAATAAACAAGTGACCGTACGAGGCCTGGTTTCAGTCAGTGAGAAAGTCCCGCTAAAGTCCTCCAGTTATTCCATTGAAAGGCAAATGTAGTTATCTCGGCTCAGTGGAACACAGTGAGAACGTGATCCCAGTCATAAATAAAGAGGACGTGTTCAAGGTCCTGTCTATGTGTCAGGTGTATCAAAGGTAGTAATGTAAGGGGGAGTGTTACAACCTGTACGATCATCTAAACACTATTTATTTGAATAAAACGATTGATTTCGATGTATTTGCACACAGCTTCCACTGAAGGAGGACAGGCAAAAGGTTTGCAATGTTATTATAGAGTATGTATCTGTTCATGTGTGGACCCCCCCCCCGTGGTCAGCTACTGGTGAGAAACATATTTTACCTGAGGACTTCAACCTCTAGATAAGCTTTATTATTTCAGTATTAAGTTAGGATGAAGATTTAGTGCTCAGGAGTTTGGCTTTGAAAGACAGTTACAGTAGTTAATAGAAAAACAATTGCTAACTATTTTGAAGTAAATACCTTTTTAAGTCATTTATGAAGTAAGATGAGAGCTTCTAAAATGTGAGGATTTGCTACTTTTCTGACATTTTAAAGATTCAGCAATCAAACGGGAATTTTATCGATTAATAAAAAAAAAAAAGAGAGGTGCTACTTTTACCTCATAAACAATCTTTTTCTGAGACACTAGCTGGAGGAGAACACACAAAGTCAACAGCAGACAAATTACATTTTGGCCTTACATCAACACACAAATGGAATTAACATTAATTAGCAACAGTTGATTGATTGCGGTAATATGAATATTGTATAACGTTACCGTCGAACAAACTTCTGCTGTCTAATACATATTTAATCACCATTTAGATAAATATCAGCAGATACCCAGTAGTTAAGGACATCTGGATCAGAGTCAGGTGTTACTGTCATGTACACGTGTCTATGTGGAGGTCACTAAGTGCACAGGAAGCATGAGGACCTGTACCTGCCACTGAAGAAAACTGAGACGTCAGGACGTTAGGAGATGGAGCAGCCTCACATCATTCTGCATTTACTCATGAATGCTAAATGGACTGTACTTGTATGGAGCTTTTCTAGTCTTTTGACCACTCAAAGCTCTTTAACACCACATGTCATCATTCACACCTATTCATACACTGATGGCAGGAGCTAACATGCAAGGTGCCACCTGCACAACAGGACCATCTACTCATTCATACACCGCAGGAACAGCCTGCTGGAGCAATTTGGGGTTAAGTGTCCTGCCCAATGACACATCGAACCAGACTACAAGGATGACGCTGCTCTACCACCGAGCCTCAGTCGCCCTTATTCACACACAGATATAACAACTTGACCGAATGTTACCGTAACATATCCTCTTGTGAAATGCAAAAAGATGAACAGATCACCTGACTAAGCTCCCATTAGGCTACAATATCAGACTATGACATCAGCAATCCGTCTTCCTCAGAGCACTCAAAATTTGAGCCATGTTCAGTGACTCATACTTTACTTCTTCTCCAAATAAACAACACGTTTTAATCCTGATATGAATGCAGCATTCTCCAACACTATGTAGGAATGGATCTGTAAATGTAATGGTGTGATCCTTATGTGACATGAGGACAATTTGACTTCATCTACAGGGCTCTGATTCTTGATCATGATGGTGGTCTGTGAAGACTTACTTCTTGCCATCTTTCAGATGGACACTTAGTCAACAACTAATCATTTTAAATTTCAATAAATAGTTTAGTCTATAATAAATGTCCATGACAGTTTTTTAAAGTCTGGGGTGACATCTTCAAATGTCTGTGTGATGTCACAGAAACAGTCCAAAGCCCAAAGATATTCAACTGACAATGGACACTAACCGCTAACCCTCACACTGGAGAAGCTGGGACCAGAGAATGGTTGTCATTCTCACTTGATAATTGATAATTCAATTAAAATTGTTGCGGATTTATTTCCCATCAATGTTATTCTTAAAAGCAGGAGTGATAACTAACAGAAGCAGCATTGAATTTAGAAAAGAGAATCAATGTTAATCTAACAAAATTAAAGGCAATGAAACGAGCATACATTCTGGTGGGACATCCAGCTCCAGTCATCATCACACTCCGTTTATGTCAAGCTGTTGTACAATGCCTCTCCTTATGGGTGACCTTCAGGCCAAAACAAGTCCCTGCTGACACAAACTGAACCACAAGACTATGTTTGATTACAAATCAAACATCAAGGCAAATCATGTTTTCACTTCAAACTGGCAGCCTCCCCTACACCATTACATTTGTATTAATCGGTGACGTCTCGCTCCAGAACAGGATTTTTTTTTGCATTACAAGTCTACTCCCCTACAATAAAAGACACACAAGTTACTCAACCTTTATCTAAAACATAGCGCACACGTTATCAATGCCAACAGTCCAATATCTAAACGTGACAAGACAGAGAATATAGAAACAAGTTTGACAGAATGTCAAAACATAACACCAGTTACTCTTTGATTTTCCACTTAATTAAGAAGTATTGTACTTTAATAAGTGAGGATCTTCTCATACAAAAAGGAGAAAAATAATAAGTGGGAATACAGGAGGAAATTTAGCAGAGGTAAAACATGAATTGCACTTTCAGTAACATTTAATTTTTATTTTAAACAGATAATGGAGAACATAAAACATATCTGTACACCCTGAGAGGTTCAGAGCCTTTTCTACAGACATAGACCCTCCCATTTAATGCCAAGCAATAGCTGCAGCTACTGGACAATTACTAGGGCATTCAATTAGGTAGTGAAATCGGATAGTTAGACATCTCACGGGAAATCTGTACAGCTTTGTTGATTATCAGTATTTCTGGTGCCTTTTTTAGTGTCCACCCGGATTGGGATTCCTCAAGCCTTAAGGGAATTATTGCCTTTAGGGAGTTTGCAGTATGCGTGAAAACACCCTAAATTGGCTAAAAGCTGCTTTAATATTTTTTGAGAAACAGTAACGTTACTCGGTTAAAAAAAATCGGGCTCGAGTGACGTCTTTCCAAGGCATCTGTGGCCACAAGGGCAAAGTTGCAGCAATGGCTCAGCAACGCCCTTTCCAGCTAACGTTAGCTTAGCACGATAACGTAGACGCGAACTGGAGCTGTCAGTTTAGACTAGATTTATAGTACTACACAGACACCACACGAAGGGCGTTGGTCTACGACAACAAGGAGCTAAGCAACACAGTCCCATGCTGAAACAAACAAGTTATTCGTTACAATTAAAATGGGAATAGGATATGTAACCCAAGTTTGATTATAGGGCTATTAGCTGTTATTCACTGGTTTACTGGTATTGTATAACGTCATTCATACACACGCCGAGGCTTACACAACACGGCCAACACCTCAAACTTGTAAATTTAGCATTTGACTTGTGCATTTTGTGTCAACGTCAGAACATTTGCACCGGGCTGTAGAGAATACGGCAGCAAGCTGACAGCCCCTCAGTTAGCTTAGCCGGCTAACGCACCACGTTAGCTCATCACCATAAATAGACGCTAACGTTCTAGCCAAATGTTCAGCTGGGCTTCACAACAAGTGTCTCGGTACTAATCACGCGTTGACCGGTAAGCGCCGGACTGGTTTTAAGATGACAACCACGTTCAGTGTGGTTAAATAATACCACCGTCAGGTTATCTCGACGTTCAGGTTTTTAAATCGATGCTCTTGTGAACGCCAACTTTGCCACTTAGCTTAGCTTAGCTTGTCGGCCTCTCCGCCATTTTGCGATCGGAACGGGAAAGCGCAGAGACTGCAGGCAATTCGTCATTTAAAATACAAGTCTTTCTAAGTGGCGAAACAACAATGTAGACGTGTGTAGAGGAACACTAACTTACCCTTTGACGAATGGTCCTTCTCATATCCCATTGACAGGCCTAAGCGTGCGACTGGAGTCCCTGGTTTTGATGTGATACTGTGACTTTTCACATCACCCGGTCGGTCAGATTGTTCTCCTCTTTGGTACCAGCGCATTCGCCCCAGCTAACGGTCGCGTATTGGACATCGGCTGCGCGCACGTTAAGCGGGGGCGCGCAGTGTGCACCTCTTTCGCTCTTGGAATTAAAGGGAGAATACACCGTAAATTAGCTTCACAAGATGTTTTTTTATTGTTATGTACAGCCACGTTTTAATTTGAGCAATTTTTACTGTAAATAAGTTTCTCACTGAGATGAGCAGCAGAAGGACAGACTGTAGTGAAGATGTCACTAATTTGAGACGAATCATTAAGCTTTATTGATAGTGAAGATTGGAATAACTCCAAGGAAACTATAACAAAAACTCCAACACATTTGAAATGTACTATATGGGTACATTTACGGATAAACAATTGTAAGCAAAATATATTGTATCAAAATAGCAGTAATTTGGGGTAATATCTCAAATAATATTCACTCATCACACAATTAGTCATTTGGTGCCAGTGGACCAACTCAACGAAATGTAACAATACAATTCAAAGTGTTCTTGTAGAATGAAGACATAAGATGCTCAAATGTTTATTTCTCTACAGTCACCTGGATATTAATGACAACATGGATTAAACAATAACAAATTAGAGATGAATTTAGGAATATCATGTTGTGAGAAGTGTCCCTGGCACAATTGTGAAGCCCAGTGGACACACAGGGGACTGCAGGATGACAACACATTTAAAAATGTAAGAAATTTGAGTAGCCTACACTGTTGCCGTTTAGTTTTTTTCAGTATAAGTAGGCCTAACATACTGTGCTTGTCTATTCATCTAGCAGTATAATTAGATTTAGTGTGGAGGGTTTATACATTTATCTGATAATAGGAAAAGAGTTTCCATATGTTAGTCATATCCCACATATTTCATAGGGCTCTTCAACAGCAGAACAAACTCCTCCTCCAAAGAGAAACTGCTGCATCTGTTTGTGTCTTGGATTTGTTGTTCAAAGTAGGCTAACCTACTTGTTACCACCATCAATTAGCCAGGCTTTCATTGGCCATTGTTGCTCATTGTCCACGGCCATTTTCAGGAGTTTGACTGACTACACAGATGCTCTATTGTAACGGTCCCTTTGGTCCATTGTTCAGGGTTGTTGTCTGCAGTTCTTAAGTCTTTTTCCAGCTCTCCCATTGAAATTTTTCCTTTCCTTTCATTTCAGTCCTCAGGTCTGCAAATTCTTTTGCACTACAGAGAAAGACGTAATAAGTGAGATGAACATTACCACCAACAAATTAGTGGTTATTTTTGATTCCATAAGTGGGACTTTTCCTGTGTTCACCTGAGGGTAACGAGAATGATTCCACATGTCAGGTTGAGCTGCTGAAGGATTGTGGGAAAGCTGGGTGTGGAAAACTATAGAGAAACACAGATAAAAATAAATTATCTCACAACCGGATATGCTTGCATGTATGTGTTCGTGTTCTACAAAACTGTACAAACCTTCGGAGGTGGAATACAGGCAGGTGTGTTTCTGTAGATGTGGTTGATGGCTTTCTGAAGGGCCACAGCCTGCTGAGTGAGGCTCTGCAGGTACTTTGAGCTTTCCGCCGTACTCTCATGGTTCTCCCCAACCTTCATGTGTCCAACAATTAAGTCTCTCAGTTAAAATTCTGAGTACATGACATAAATATAACAGAAACCATGGCATTCCAGCATTCCAAAGCATACCTGGCTCTTATATATGAAAAAAGCCTGTTTCTCGTGTTGCAGAGCTGATCGAAACTCCCCTTTGCTCTCGTACACGGTGGCAAGCAGATGATGACTGCACAGAAGATAGACACAGAAGTAATGAAAACTTTGATATAAAGAAAATTATGGACGGGAACAGTATATGAATACGGGGAACACAGAAACCTGTATGTCAAAGCATGTCTATCATTTTCTTAGATTGTAATGTGTTGGACGACCACCTGTCTTACCTTTGTGCATGTTTCAGGGATGTGGCACCGTGGTATTTTGAAGTTGACATTAAGGCATTCTGTAGGAACTTCAGGGAAAGCTCATACTCCATCAAGCCATGAAGCACCAGACCCAGCATACTCTAATGTAGTGGAGCACAACAGGGACATTAACAGAAGCCGTGCCTTAATGTTCACTCGGCTGGTTGCTGAAATACCAACGAGTTATCAAGTAACTTTCTCAGGGTTGCGTTCAGTGATTTCTTATGATCTGGCAAGGCTATCTTATCCACCTGAAGTTCTTTTAATGTAACTTTAATCATCTTATAAGTTCCCCCACAGTACTTGAAGGGATTTCCTTTTTAAAAAGTTTTTTTGCTGGTGAGGTCCCACTTACATCCAGCAGTGCGACTTGTGGATGGTCTTCTCCACTCACAAGCAGGGTGAGGTACCGTGCGCGATACAGCAGCTGAAGGGAGGTCGAAAGCCGGCCGCCAGCAAAGCAGTACAGAGCCAGGTAAGTCTGGATCACACATAGGAGAACACTTTCATGTGAAGTCGCAAGTGAAATATAACATTAACAGAATTCAGTAAGGTGTTTGTAAAAGAACAACAGGGCTAACGTGTCATGGCCCAACAATCTGTTTGTGGATCAATGTAAAGGTAAAGGAACTCACATAGTCTTGGATGGTCTGTGGATGGTCTATACCTTGTATTCTCTCACTACTCATAACAGCCTTTTCCTGGTGGCTGAGCGCCTGTGAGACATGAGGGAAGCATTACTTTACGAAAGCCCACAAATTGTTGTGGGTGATGATTCAGAAGTCTGGAACCAGGTTTGGTAAAAGCTCATGGTAGAAATGAATATGAATGCATATTTACATCTGCATACTCCCCCAGGATGTAGCAGATCCGTCCCAGGAGACGCAGGCACATGCACACGTCTTCATGCAGGACACCACATACGCTGCTGAACAGAGTCAGGGCCTGGCTGATCAATTCATGGCCATCTTTGAGAAGCCCTGAAAGCAAACATAAAACTCTACTGATGAGCCTTGAATGTACAAAAACATGAAGTACACCAAATCCTGATGTTTGTCAGTTTCTGAAGACATCCAATAATTCACAGTTATTACAAACACATTGTCCATGTATGTACCAACAGTGCTCTTAAGGCGTAGACCACTTAAATGTAAAATATGTTGCTAACTTTACCTCCTGCATCGAAAACATGACCTCATGAGTTTTATTAAGTACGACATTTTTGTGTTATACGCCAAACAATGTGATACTACTGTGTATGCTTGTGGGGAAACCTTTTTTTTTTGTTACACATCCCTCACAGTGCCTGTGTAGCTGGTAACGATATCATTCCGTGCTGTGTTACTTTTCCATATGGGCTCTCCAGTTCATGGTCAGTCTCTTGAAGCGCCCAAGCAAGGCCACCGTGCTTCCTCTAAATGTGAACATATAGACTGTATTTTAAGTGTATGTTTTTGTGTCCGTGTCTCTCACCCTGCTGTACTGCCACCTGTGCGTGTTGCACAAGCCGTGTGGCGTCTGTCGCTGTAGGTTTGAGATGTTTGACCACAGGGAACATGTTGACAACATCCTCCTCACCGAACACTGGCCTGTGACGAGACTCAAACACATACTCCCTCAGCTGCACCTAAATACAGAGAAAGGGGAAGAATGAAACCAGCTGCATTTTAAAATTTCATGAGATGACGTTGCATTTTGGCTGCCCCAAGTCAACGCTGGAGATAATTTCTTTTTTTTAAGGGCTTGTTGGACTTAACACAATAGCATAATGTAAGTCCTCAACTTATGTTACCACACCTATCTTATTAACCATAAAATATGAGCAGATATTTCTAGTGGTGGGGCCAAAAAAACAACTAAATATCATCTTGGCTTTTGCAGCAGATTCAACAATCACCATCATTATTGGTGAGCCCAGTTTTCAATCAAAAGAGAACTTGCTGTTTAGAAGAACATTTTCATATTTCTCTCTCTAGTCCTTATTGCTCAACTTTGAAGCAATATTGAAGCACCAGATATGATTCTTAATAATGCAAAAGGTGTGAATTCAGCTACAATTAGTGCAGCTTTACAGTGAGACACCCGAGGCAAAAACATTGTTTTTCATGCATTGGTCAATTTTGAGATTTTGGGCTATTTTGCTTCCATTTGTGTCTGTAGATTTCTCCTAAATTTGCAGAAAGTTAGCATTCGATAATGCCTCTTTTGCATATTTAAAGATAACATTTCAGAAAACTTAAAAATAAATTGTCTTAATGTAAGTAATCAACTAAGGATGTTTCATGGTGATAATTATTAGTTATCCTTTGTACCATATTCCCCTGGTGTGTCTCCCTTAAGACAGACAGAATTAATTGAATTTCATAGATAAATGTATTGTGAAGAGGTAGATGTCTGACCTGGATGCCCGTCTTGATGGCAATCTCTCTCAGTAGTGAGATCCTCTGAAGGCTGTGCTTTTTTATTACTTCATCTATACTTTCACTGGAAACAGAGAGGATGGCAGGGTAAAGTCCTGTAGCACATATCCAACCACACACACATGCATGCACACACACACACACACACACACACACACACACACACACAAACCTGTCTATCGTGTAGTGGTAATAATCTCCAGCCTCAGTCCTGATCCGGCCCCACAGCTCACTGGGGGTCAGTCTAGCCCACACACTGTCTGTCAACAAGGGGACTCGACTCCCGTTGCTCCGTCGACGTCGGCTCCTGCGGCGAGAGAGCAGCTCATCTGAGCAGGAGTCAGCGAAGCAGGAGGAGCAGCTCAGCAGGCAGTTTAAGAAGTGACTGACAGCAGCGGAGAAAGCTGCAGGTTCCACGTCCTGGGAGAAAATAAGATACATGTGGATATTAGAAAATGTATGATAGATTGCGAAAGGTTATTTTAATATTTTACTTATTAACATTGTTTGAGCACTCCACCTGTAGATATGTCCTGAAGATGTGTTTTGCGCTTCTGATGATGACTTCACTGATAGAAATTCTCTGTGAGGGAACATTTGATCAGTTATGTGATCAGGAGGATTTTAGCATCCTGACGGACAGTTGGCATCCTTTATTTCCTAGTGTTTCTTTCACGTTATATAAAACATAATGTTGTATTCTAGTCATATTACGAAGGACAACGATCAGAGATAACGTTAGCCCTTGACCAAGAACTTCAAAAATAAAATCTTTGATCTTAACTAAGTCTAAGATTGAGTTGAGATGGAAAGATGAAACCACAGTCTTGCTAACTGTGTGCCTCAAGAGTCAAGGACAGGAAAACAATTGTGCAATTGATCGTAATAATATCTTCAGTACATCCTCATCTTCTGCCTGGAGCAAAATGTACAGATCTGCCGCTCATGTCAGGCCACATTTATTTTAGAAAAATGGGACTCAAGTGATGTAGTGGCAGTCAATGTAAAAGTAAACTCAAGAGCAAGAGGTAAGCAGCTATGATGACTTCACATATATGTCTTAAGGGTAATAATAGCTGGAGCAAGTACCTGTACGTGGCTGAGTCTCCCTCTGTCCTCCACCTTGTCCAGCTCCCTCAGTAGGGTGCCCAGGTATCGCACGTTCACACCCCGCTGATGTAGCACTGAGGTCAGAGTCGCCCCATCCATCGGCACTGCTGAGTGGTCGAGACAGTCCCTCAGCTACCACACACACACACACACACATGCAGGGACAGCAGTAGAATTATAGATATTGCGTTAGACTTCATGCACATGGTACATCTGGATGTTATTGCTCCACACACAACTCACCACTGCTGGAATCTGATTGGAAAGTAGAAAAGCAGCCACGTCCCATAACAACTGCCTCTGCCTCTGAACCTCCTCAACACACTCTGAGGAGAAACGAACACCTGCAGCAAAGACACACAGTTCAATCTGATTTTTGTTTTAACTTTATAAACATGACCGTATATATGTGTGTGTGTGTGCGCACAAGTGTGTTCAATACCCGGAGAGCAAACATCAGGGTTGAAGCGAATGTCGAAGCAGGAGTCACTCACTGATCCGACAGCCTCGCAAGCTTTCATAATCACATTTCTTTTCTGTAATTCTACAACAGTAACACATGAATGCATTATTAATCGACACACAATCAAACTATCCTCACCACTTTCCTTGGCCTTAATCAATAGTCAACAATGAATATTTGCACATTTTGAAGATCTATAACTGTGATGTCTTACTTAAGTAAAAGTAGGAAAACCACACTGTTTAATTACTTAAGTATAACAATATAATTATTATTAAAAGCAAACTTTACTTAAAGTAAGTGCAGTAGAATGACTATACATTGTATCACTAGTTCATTATTATTGATGCATAAACATGTAAGCATTAGCAGCATGTTAATGTTGTAGCAGGAATACATTTTTTACACCGTTTGGTACTTTAATATATAACAAAGCATCCCAATTTAAGAACTCAAATAAAATTTGTGGGTCAAATTTTAATTTGAAAAATAAATACGAACAAAAGCTGTCAGGAAAACATAGCGGGGGAAAAGTATAAAGCGGCAGAGAATAAACACACTCAAGTAGAACACAAGTTCTTCAAAAACACGCTGACAGTAAGCAGAGTACTTGTACTAAGTTACATTCCACCACCAGGGATGAACTTCTGAATTCAGCTTTTAAGCCAACATGGTTGAGAAGTCCAAAGAAAACTGATAATTTCAACATTCATAATTTAAAGACAACTGAGCAAACTCCATCTGCTGATAAAGATCATGTGCTGTGACTGAAAGTTCCAGAACAAGAACTAAATGGACCTTGTGATGACATTGTTTTCCCAACTGTTGTTTCCAAAGTCATGCATTCGCTTACTTACATGTCTTATTACTGTACATCCTCTGTTCGGCTAATTTAGTACCTTCTCACTCTGTGTTCCTGAGCCTGATTTCTATTTCTGGTAACACAATTTCTCCTCGTTTATCATTTCACTTAATTTAGCTGGTCTTATTCACCCATACCAGCACCGGATGTGGCTGTATCCCCAATTCTCGTCTCACTGAGTGGCTCTTCGCTCTGCTCCATGGCTTGTTCTTCTGTTTGGATGAGATCCCGGGACACCATCTTGCCATAAAGTTCATACCTGCAACAGAAAACGCAAGATTAGAGAGATGAGATGCTTCATTTCCAAAGCTCAGCACATCCTGTTGCATGGTAGCTGCATTCGTGTCCACATCTCGTCTTCCTCACCTGTGCTGGACGAAGGCCTCTATCAGCTCTGGTCTCAGGCTGGCCAGGCTGTGATGGTGTCGCTGTGGGTAACCAAAGATCTGGCACTCCCTCTGCACCTCCATCCTCTCCTCCGTCTCTGAGAACTGGAAGTTAAGGTCAGGGGGGAAGGTCCGGAGGAGGTCCAAGATGTAGGGTCTTCCGTCATTACCCAGGATGCCTTTGGTCTCGATGCCCGAGCAAAGCTCCACTGAGCTGTTGCTGTGATCGAGCACCTGGTGACGTTGGATTCTGAGCGGTTTACTGGTTTTATCCAGAAGCTCCAGAAACCTGGAGTAATGTTGAGAGAATTAAAGGTTGCATGTTTAAACCTACACTTTATTTTGCTCTAAATACTACTACCAATACTAAAATATAAGACTTTATTGTGTTTCGTGTGTGTTACCTGGGGTGAGTAAAAACAGTTTTTCCATAGTCATTAGAGCCATAGACAACACTCTGCTCCTGATTTCTCTCCAGGATCCCAGGAACGATGGTCTGAGCGATAACACGGATGCTCCGATAATCTACCACAGCTGTCCCAAGTGTGTGAAGACCCTCTACGTCTACAGACGCGTAAGCCTGAAGCAGAGCAACATAAGTCGTTTTGTTTCGATGGCAACAACTTTGTTTCATACGTGTCTTATTGAAAACATATTCACATATTAAATACTATATAAATGAGACTAAATGAATGGATGACGGCAGTGTGAACAGGCTATCTCATTCTTTTCATTTTCCTCTCATCAGTTAAACAAACAGAGTGTGTGCTAGTCTTTCATCTTACATTCATTATTATAAGTAGGCTACAATTATCAGAACAACACGAACATTCAGGCTCCCTCATGTGGCTCATACTGCAGATATGAATGTTGAATAAAACACTGTGGAAGAAATTTAATTGGCGACCCTAAAAAAATCTCCAGCGACCACAAATATACTTTTAAATGGGACAGATTAAACAGTAAATGTATTGCTGTGAGGACCTACCTGTGCTCCCCTCAGGTCACAGATGGCAGCAGCATGAGCAGCAGTGTTGCCCCCTAGTGGGCTGTAGTGCTCCGATATGTCGAACCCGAGGCTGAAGAACAGGTTGTTCCAGATGAACATCTGCATATGAGGCGCCTCCCCAGGGTTCAACGGCATGACGTTACCGTCAACAACAGCTACAGCGCCTCGTGTTGCAGCCGCAACAAAGTCACTGTTTGTCTGGATGGAGGGATTAAAATCTTGGTGAACATGTTCTCTCACAATCTCACCCGAGAGCAGGAGGAGGAAGGAATAATCTCACTGAACAGTGTAGAGGAAGTTAAGGGGGACTAAGAGATCATCTGTACGCCTGGTCACTGCTGGAGGGATGATCTCACAAGTCTGCTTCTCCAATCATTACTCAGATGGAAAGGAGATGTTTAGAAATCTGTGGCCTCACCTTGAATATGCTCCTCTCTCTGTGCAGGCGCTCCCGAAGAGAGTTCCTAGCGAGTTCCCTGCATCCCTGCAGCTCCTCGTTCCACTCCCGACTCTGTGGTCATAACACATGGCCTACATATCAGCATCAGCCTCACTACCAGTTAGCCTCAGATGCTCCATGAAACCTGCATGTGCATTCATGCACATTTTATGTCTGCAACCTGCCCAGCTGTCTGCTCGTCCTGGCCCATGCGACTGGTGTGCGTCTCCTCCGCTCTGACACAGTCGAGGGTGTGGTCTCCATGACGGGCGATCCAGGTGAACACCTGGTAAGGTGCTGCGATCTGCTCAAAAGGGTGTTGCTGGACTCTGGTTCACAGCAAGGGACAGAGAAAAATCTTTTATTAGTAAAGCGTGCATGGAAGTGAGAGTTTCTGTTTTATTAAACTCATGTTACTGTCTCGTATCAACCCAAGCCTCAACTCTAGAAATGTAGACCACCGCTATTACTGTATTTCCATCCACATATTTAATTGACATTAACAGTGTTACATGTCACTTGATCTCGTTCCAGCTCGATTACAGACAGCTCACCTCTTCTTCTGCAGGGCACTGAAGGTTTTCCTGAAAGCAGGGCTGACTTGACTCAGCAGCTCAACTAGAGAGTGGCAAAGGATTTTGGGAAGTGCAGGTTTAGGGTTGAAGTTGAAGGTAGTTGACCTGGAGCAGTCAGAGCAGAGCACGAGTTGAATCCAGGTAAGTTTCTACTGTCCTCGTCGTACATAATTGTTGTTGGTTAACTGCTCTCTGTGGGCGCTGTCGCTGTAATAAACACTTGCTTTGTGGTGGAACTTGGAAGAAATACAACATGAGAGTATAGTATAGTTGTCAAGATGTTTCAGTCTGGACAAAAGTAGTGGACTGACCGAGCTACGCTGCTAGCATGGCTAAAAATTCTTCAATTTTCATAGCTTAGCAAACAAATGTCTCAATAGTTTAACACTCACTGGTTGAGGTAGAAGCCACGAGTAGAGGATGTAATGTTGAGTTCTTTATCCTCCATAGTCAGGACATTGAGGTACATTAGGTCGCCGTGCATCTTCCTGTTTCCTGGAGGAGGGTTCCAGCTGCTCATGGTCAGAACCCGCAGACACTGAAATGGCTGTAATGATACTTTCATAAAGTCCACCTGTTGCTTCACTACAACCTAGTACACGTTTCATTGCATGTTATATATCGAACAAATCGCGTTTGCGATTACAATATCTGATGTCTCACCTTCCAGTCATCTCTGAGTGGCTGCAGTGGTATTAGTGGTCGGTCCTTACATCCCGGGAGGATGTATTCTGGAGGGCTGCAGTCAGTAGACTCCTTTTCAGAAGCTCGCCTGTTCCCCACGCTGACACTGTCTGAAGGGACGAATATGGAGGCGAAACGTTGAATGATTACAGGCGGAAATGCTCAGACTAAACCTGAAGTAAGGAGGTAATAAGAGAGTAATATTACCCTTGTCTCCCCTGGTGTAACAGGTGAGGTAAGAGAGTGAGCTGCAGTTCACTCCGTTGTATGCATCTGCTGGGTCGAGGCTCCTCAGAAGGTCACGGACGTGTCTGAGATGAAGACGAGCATCACGCACAGTGTAAGGATCTGCAACAAGACCAGAAAAGAGGCTTTTAAAAAGGGTTTCATTCAATCTTGCACAAGATGAATGGGGAAAAAATACCATTGGTGTGTTGCATTTCACGGAAGAAGATAAACAAATCAGTATACAAACATATATTGACAATAGAAGACAAAACAGTGCAGAATAAAATGATTCAAGTGGAGAAGAACTTGTATTATCTTAAGATCCCTATAGGAGGCAAATCAACACAAAATGAAAGTTCCTTATAGTAGCTTCAGGTTTTTAGTTTGTTCACAAAATAGACATCTATAGTGAGGTTTAAAGTGAGTGATGGATTAGATAGAAATAAGTGGTGGTGATGTTTATTAAAGCTAAATCAAACTGTGGTTTGGTTTAGTCACTAATGATGCTGATATGTCGATATGTTGATGATGCATCTATCTGATGAGAGGTCAACATAGTTCATTCTAAAAAGGGCCTCCCTGTGGTAACATGTTACGGGTCCACATGATGTGAGGTCTCATAAAACTGGACTGAAGTCAGATGCTGGCAATGTTGCTCTCCAAAGTGAACGACACACTTATCACAAAAACACAACTTGTAGAGAAGAAAGAAAAGGACAAGTTACCCTCCACCACCTTGATCTGCGCTCCGTCCTGGATGCCCTGAACGGAGCACAGCTCTGAGAGGCTGTCGAGCGCGATGCCCCCCAGCTGGAGGGAGAAGCACGTGCAATGGCAGCTGATCTCGTGCTCCATCAGCACCTGGTGCAGCTCGGCTACCAACATCTGGCCTGACACCTGAGAATGGAGGAGAGTTGTATTGGAGGGGTTCAGACAAATGTGAATGAATATACATCTTTAAAAAAAAAGGTATCTTTAAAAGAAAAGAGGAGACAGAGGTACACAGAACCTGAAGCTCAAAACTCTCTTTTCCAGGAGGTTGAATCCGGACAGTGAAGTCTGTCTCTTGGAGAGCGACGACGTCCCCGATGCTGAGTTTCCTTTTGTCAGCGTCACACTGCTGCGGGCAATCATCCTCGGGGCTTTCTTGACTTGGAGGCGCTGTTGGCAACAGAAGAGACAATAAAATAAAAATGTGGGGATGACAACATTTCAATGCAGGTTAATAAGGTGACAATTAAAAGTTCAAAAGAACAAGGAAATCATATACCAAACTGATGGATATTACTAAATGCGAATTTGAAAAAAGAAAAGTGAAATTTCCATCCCTTAAACGGAAAAATAAAATAGCTTAAATGCAAAAGTTTGAATTTAAACATGTAATCGAAGAAGAAATCAATGTGTAAAGGGAAAATAGATTAAGTTAGTTTAATTCTAATTCAGAATAAAATGATCCTCCAAAGCATGATGCTCCCCTGTACAAGCTGCAGGTAGAATGTTTGAATACCACAGTGCATAGACAAACAACACACTGTAAATAAAAGCAGAGATAAAACCGCTCACCTTTAACATGTGGAGCTGCCAGAAATAGCCTGTCAACTAAAAACAAGGTTTGCTTTGTCTCGGCCTCCTCCTCCTCCTCCTCCTCCTCATGTGGCGGAGGGGTCTTGATGTCGTCGTCCTCTTCTCTCTTCACCGGGTCGTGGCACTGAATGTGATCCGCATTTAAATCTGACCGGTCTGTGGGGTCCTCAGACGGACTCATGTTTGTATTCGTGTGGATAACGTCACAGACCTTTTCGTTTACATTCTGATCTGACGCCACAGTCGGCTGTCCCGTCTGTTCATCCTCCCCATAACTCTGTTGAGTCAGGTCCACGCCACGCTCAGCAGGGTCAAAGTTCACCCCAACTTCAGTGCTGCTGATGCTGCGTTTCGTCAGCTGAACTTCCGTCTGTGACTCAGTGTTCCCGTCCGTATAGTTGTTGTGTTCAGTCGGCATCACTGAGGTGCACTCGGATTTTGTAACTTTCTCCTGTGTCGGCTCTGTCCGGACAAAGTCGGTGTTTTCCTGAGCAGCAAAAGTTGTCTGTTGCAACTTAAAGACATTCCCTTCATCAGTGTTCAACTCCTCCATCAGCTTGGTATTGGTATAGCTCAGTATTTCATGTTCTTGCACAGCCATCTCTTTTGAAGCTCCAGTATCTCTTAGTGTGTTTACTTCTCTCTCCACAGTCTGATTATTGCACACGCGTATTTCTGTCTGTGCCTGAACGTCTGCCTGGGACTCTGTCTGAGTCTGCACCCCCATACCGATCTGTGTCTCCACTTCGGTCTGTGTCTCAACCTCCGAAAACCCCCTGCTCCTCCACCTGTTGCTCCTCTCTTGTCCTTCTCCCTCTTCCTCCTCAGACACCAGCAGACACACCATCGGCTCCACCAGAGTCACATCCCCTCCCAGGTTGCTGCTGAGGATGATGTCAGGAAACAGGAAGTGCTCCGGTTCGAGGGCTGGGTATTTCCCGCCGGGGGAGATGGTTAACAGATCGTCCTCCAAGTCGTCCGGCATGCTGGGCAATTCACATTCACTCTCTTCGCTGGAAAGCAGAGGGGATCTTTCCGCCTCACCCGGGGCCGGTGCATCCTTACACTTAAAGTATTTTGACAGTGAGTGACAGCACTGGACTATGTTTCCCATGGTGCCTTTGTGCAAGAAACTGCAATATTATGCAGGTGGCCTATGGGAGGAAAAACCATCATTTAAAAGAAACACTTTTAGAAGCTGCTGAGTCTTAGTAACTGTCACATGTGTGTGTTTGTTTGTGTGGCATGTGTAAATGCAAGCAGCTAAGAGCCTTAGATTACAGCTGACGACAGGGAGATTATGAAGTGTCCCTGCAGTGGTGTCAACTTACAGAGGAAAGGAGTGGAGAACCGTGGTGACTAAATCTCATCAGATGGACTCTGGAATGATGTTGGATGTGTGGGAATCCTGGAACACATATGAGAGGGAACGCTGAGCAGAGTATACACTTACAGTTATTTGGCTGCATAAAGGTGTCCTAATCAAAACAGCAGAATATTCTAAATAGACTCAATGTTAATCTATTGAATCCTGATAATTTTTTACGAAAGTAACACACCTTATTCAAGCTCATGAGAACACCAAGGTGAAGCAGAAGGAATGTGCATGTATCCTAAAACAACAGAAGAACAACACAGCATGAAAATGACATTAGTGTAATCAATCTATGGACCCTACCAGCCAGCGAAGAGAGAGAGGGAGAGACTGCAAGTCTGTGTCATCTTATCCACACTCCTCTGCTGTTCATCCTGCTGAAATCAGAGAGCTGAGTGTCCCAGTCTTTCCTCTACAGCAGGAGGCTCCCCTGTCCTTGCTGCAAAACAACGTTACACAAACTATGTGTGTGTGTGTGTGTGTGTGTCTGCCCTTCATGGGTGAGCTGGGACAGAGCATGCAGGCCCCTCTATTCACACACATCCACACACATCTTAGTAGCCTACCCATTCAAGTCCAGAGGAGGGCGACCTCTCCGCCGCTGATGATGTCACTTCCTGTATTCAGACCGGCCCGTGCACCTCTCTATCAACCTTGAACGTGTGCACGTGCGAGAGGTGCATAAATAGCCGAGAGGCAGCAGGAGGTCTGGCTCTTCTTGATATTTTTGAAAGCTGTACCAGAGTCGCGACCGACAGCAAACGTCTCCCCCAAAAACTCCTGGAAACAAGCATCGAGTATCTTCGTCTTTCAGCCACGAGCGCTCAAACGCAGCTCCGCGGTTGTCATGGCAGCGCTGCAGCGAAATAAATTGACATTCTGAGCACAGTCTCCAAGACAACTGTGGGAACGTTCTAGAATGGGATGTTTGCTCGGAGACAAGTTACAAGCAGCTAACGTTACCACGTGCGAGCGATACAGTTGTTTGTATGACTCGATGTCTCCTCGTGATTGTCAATACATTAATCAATTAAAAATGTTACCTCACAGTTATTCCCTTGTATTTTATGTCCATTCAAAGTATGTTTTTATACTTTTATGCTTTTTCTCCAATTGCCTAAATGTATGTGTGACTTATTGAAACAGTAGTGGCTACTAAGTGCATTTGTTCATTTGTAAATGGTGCTTTATGTTCCTGAGCTTGGTACATTGAATGACTGAATGCATCTCGTTTAAAGCATTGAGTATTTCGACGTAGTTCTCTATGAAGGTATATTTGTGTCTTTATTACGCAAACAAAAAAAATATATACCTTCATAGTTCTCCAACCTATTTTATTTGTATTTTTGTATTTATCTGTTAATTGTTATACCTGGCATTAATGTTCATGCAACTGTTTGCATTGGCAAGAGGTGAGGATTGAGTGTTCCAAAATATGGATATGGATTTATATATTTCAGTGATGTTCCTTTCAATAAAATCTAACTGAAAGAAATTACTCAAAGGTATTTTTTTTTCTTTTAAATTCCTCAATTCATCTGTGTATTTAAAAAATCACATGCCAGTTTCATTTAGTTTCAGTGTGCTGCTATATCATGTTGTAAATAAATATGTATCGTAGAAAAAGATGCAGATTGCAAATGAAGGATGGTCAGACTCAGTCATCACAATCGTCCAGATCCAGAAGTGGGCTGTAAACCGTTCTGTGAGGGTTATGCTGATATTTAATACTGGTGAATGTTTTTATTTTGTACAATTTAGGTCAGATTATTCTATTGATTAGTTGATAAATAGTTTGACCTATAAAACATCACAAATTTGTAAAAAAAAGGAAATTAATAAATGTTTAATGTTTTTGCTTGACTAATGACGTGTATGATCGATTTATTGATGCGGCTGACTACTCGATTTATTGGATAATCATTTCAGCTCTTATACAATTTGAGTATAAATAATAGATTTGAGAGCAGTTGGTCAGAACATCTTTGTAGCCACACAGGCCTTTTTTACAGCAGATATTTTCACATGTCATTGTAGGAAAAGCAAAGGTGCAAATAATAAAATCAATAAAAGGCTCAATTCCATTTAGCTGTGTCAAGGTCCTGGTATTGTTCATGCTGGCTCACTTTCACATTGTCATGGCTTACTCACAGAACAGAGCCATCAATAAAGCTAGTAGTGCTTATGAAGTATTGCTGTGACACAAACTTTTTAAACACTGAGACAAAAGACAACAATACTCCAGAAATAATTCTCTGCCATGACGAGGCACATTGCATGAATTTAATAAAGTGCAAATCATACAAAATGTCCCTAAGCCTTCTCGAGTGACTTTTCACACCTGGAATGCAGCTAGTGCAGTGAAAAAGCAGGTTGCCACGTACGTCAACAGTACGGTGTGTTCACAGTATTCATGGCAAGGCTACTAATTACCAGCAAAAGCCGTGATCAACAGTGTTAAAATCAAAAGGCATCCATATGAAACTGTACCACTATTCAGTCTTTTTTTTTGGACCAGCTCTTTTATCTTCACATTTTCAAAGTACACGTTGTACCATCAATGTGACGGATTAGGTTAATACGCTGTTGTGATCACACGCTCTTGTGCAACTAACTTCTAAATATTTAACTCACTTCCTGAAATCTACAGACAATCACATGGTTACATCTTGTCTTAAGCTTTTTTCTAGAATAACTGCTTCAGCTGTTGGTTGATCTTGGCCAAAAACTTGCTGGAAGACAACGTTGTCTTTTCTGTCTTCATCACAGAGCAGTTTCTCCCTCTCCTGCTCCCATGTCCACCCTCCTGTGCACCCTGCTGTCCTCTATATCCTCCCACTCGTCCTCCATCCCCTCTCCATTCTGCGTTCTGATCGGCTGGTTCAAGCGGAGGAGGCGGTATCTAAGCGGCACTAGGAAGAGGGCGGGGTCAGGCATAGGGTGTGGCCTCTGCGGTGACGTCACCCTCTCCTGGGGGACGCAAGCTCTGACCCTCTCCTCCCTCGTGCTGACACGCCTCTTGTGTCTCGCTTCTGGTTGGCTAGGAGAGGCCGGGGGAGGTGGAGACAGGAGCCAGTCTGAGCCCTCCCCTTCGTAATCTTCATCCTCCTCACCTTCGTCTTCTTCTTCATCATCATCATCATTCTCATCTTCCTCCTTTCCTCTGGGTTCCCCCTCTCCCTCGGCCCCAGACTCTGTGCTCTGCTGCCGTTGCTGGAACAGTTTTAAGCGTGCGGTGTGGAGCTCGTGGCAGAGGGTTGTCGTGGTGACATTTTGGCGTTGCAGCTCTCGACTCAGTAGTGTGATCTTGTGGCTGCGACGTTTCAGCTCCTCCAGGAAGTGCCGCTCTTCTTCTCTCAGGCTCCTTCCCAGTGCTGATGCCCGTGCCCGGCCAGCCCGCAGCTCTCCACGCGTGGCCACCATCACGCACTGCTGGTCCTCTAGGAGCCGCTGTGCAGCCTCACAGCGTGCTGCTAGCTCTGCTTCTTCCTCTGAGAAACATAAACAAACACAGTACGGACTGAAGATAATCAAGTTACAGAAAATACTGTAGATGTTGAGGAGATTATTCTATACATTAGGATGTCATTATTTGGTCTGTTTTTCTATCCTCCATATCTCTTTTTTTATTTCTGCTTGATTAATCTCTCTTATATTACATTTCATACATTCTTCTTTTCACTGTGCCTTTCTGTGCTCCCACACTTAAATAAATAATACACACATATACTGTAATTTACTTCCCTATCAGTGACCATTGTAAATTTGGGGGCCAGGCTGGTGCTGCATGCAATTTTAAGGGGTACCAAATATGTGAAGCACAACTTACATACCACCACCACCCAAATAGCTTTGTCCAAAAGACTTACGATAACACTTACGATAACAATAAACAAAAGAATACTCATTCCCTGTTAAAGTACATTTTAGTCTAGACATCACTTCCTGTGAATAATTACTCCCCTCCCTGGAGACAAATGTTGGGTGAACAATGTATTTATATCTTATGTTTTTGCACACATACTTTTGTTTTATAACTCATCTGTTGCAGATGAAGTTTAGAATCACAGTGCTTGAATGTTCTCAATAAAACCAAGGCTGGACTAAAGCACTTGACGGACATGGATAAATTGATACAACTTGCAATACACGCCATTCAGAACAAAAATATGCAAAACCAAATATATATATGCAGTGTTGTAGGAAGAAACAGCGCTTTAAATTCCAACAATGTTACCTTCTAACTTGTTTATGTCTCTCTCTCTCTCTCTGGAACATTGACTTTCCTTGCAGGAAAAACTGAGCACATTGTTCCATCCAACTTTTTCTTTCCCAAAACTGATTCCAATACCTCAACTCAGGGTATCTACCGATACCAAGAACCGATTCAACACCGGTGGTCTATATTTCCCAAACTTTAAATCTGAGTACCTTGCTGCCTGGATCTCATTGTTGACAATTTTTAGGTTAACTAAAAACAAAGCCAGCAGTCTGCTGTGACTGACTGATTGTAGCTGATAGCAGAAACACTGATTTACATGATGTTAATTACAAGGAAACTGTATTGAATGTGGATGGATATGTCATGGCCGATGCTTGAACCGCTTCATAACGTGCCAACACCGATCTGACATATTGTATCAGTGCATCGCTATACCTAACAAATATAATAAAAAATATACTGCATATATACTGAATATTAATAGTAATGCAAATACATTAAAAGATCAAACTCAATTTACAGTAATAATGTGGCATCGACTCTGGTCATTGCATCCCTTTCTGTCATGAAGTCCTTGTGAATTCTCCTCCTCTTTCCTCTCCATAACTCCCTCATATCATTAGTCATCAAGGAACTGTATTGTCTTACCTTCTGTGCTTCTGTCAGGAAACCTGGAGTCCAGCTCACAGCTTAGCTCTGCGGCCCGCGAGGCAAAGAAGCACAACAGGCGGACAGACAGAGAAAGATAAGACAGGGTGACAGACGGACAGTCAAGTGGTTCAGTGACACATGAAGAGACGGAGAGCAGCAGGCCGCCGGTATACACTGACCATGACAGCGCCTCCTCAGGTGTGTGATCTCCAGCTGCAGACCCGTCAGCATGGTCAGGTGCTCCTGCTTCAGGAAGGCTATGCCTCTCTCCACACTGGCCACCTGCTGCTCCAGCTTCCCAGCATCCATGGCTGCAGCCCTACACAACCTGCACACAGATGCAGGAGGCTGGATGTCTTTTGGTAAGGTTTCTCCCACTACAGCTGTTGTGGGTCCATTTTGAGGACCGACATAGAGCAGAGCTCAGGTAGGCTTACTATGCGTCTGTTCCATGGAAAGTAAACATAATCTATTTACCAAGCTACACTGACAAACCATCTGCTCGATATTCTATCTCACTCAGATTTTCTGCATTAGCTTTATGAGGTAATTATCTTATAAAAAAAAACACTCTCTATTTGAATAACCTCTTTCGGTTTTATTTCTAGCCCATAAAAGCTTTCTAGTTTCTGCACCGTGGCTCACGCGGTGTCTACCTGTAACTGTGCATTCATCACTGTGACCGTGGCCTACCGTGATACTGAAGCTGTGTCCTGTTCAGAGCGTCTCTCATGGATCCTCGTATCGCCGCGCTGTCTCCGCCCCTCGATGCAGCGGAGATGGAGTAAAACAAAAAGACTCGTGCAAAGACGTTCTGCGTGCAAACCAGCGCTTTGCGCGTTTCTCGTGCTCTCGGCTGAGCTGTTTCTCTGTTGCAGCAGGCCGACGTGTTTCCCGACCGTGTGAACGAATCCTGCTGCAGTCTGAGTAGAAATAACCTCCTCATAACCTTCTTCTCTGTACGTGCAGTGCGGCTGCTGTACCCACAACAAAGCAGTCCGGTATGAGGGGTGATCAGTGCCACGAAGCAGCAGCAGCAGGAGGAGGAGGAGCTCCGTGGAAGTGATGCTACCAGCTGTTGCAAGCAAAGAAAGGAATCATATTTGTATTTTATTCCTTGAGATGATAGATGTTGTTCATCAATCTTTTGGAAAAGCTTATGCATCATATGAGGCTCTTCGTTTGTTTTCATTGGCAGAAGAATTATTCTGATGCTTTACTTAAAAGTACTGAAACGTGTAAAAAAAAGTAAAAATACCGTTACAGTTAAAGTACTGGATTCACATTAATTGTATTAGCAAAACATACTTAAAGTATCAAAAGTAAAAGGCCCATTGCAGTGTTTATTATATGTTAAGCATTAACAGCATCTTAAAGACAGCCCATTTTAACTCATTATTATGCTGATTGGCTTTCAATCAATAATTATGCACTCTACTTATAATTATATTTTTTGTATGTTCATTTCTAATTTGCAAAGTAACTTGTAACTATAGGTGTCAAATAAATGTAGTTTGAGTAAAAAGTACAATAGTTCTTCTGAAATTAAGAGGTAAGAAGTTCTTCATCTTCATCAGTCAACTAGTTGATTAATCCTTGCAGCTCTAATTCTATTTTATTAAATTATTATTTTTTCATATAAAATGTTTTAGTAAATAAATTAAAGCTATATACAGTATACGTATAAACCATTCATCCAATAATTTGAATATTAGGTATAGATTACACAGAAGAAGAAAAAACTACGTTCAGGTTTATTTTATTTGCTCTGTGTAGTGCTTCGTGACATACTGGTTATAAAACATCATCCCTATACTTGTGCAGTGTAATCTGCCATCAGTGTCAATAATACACAAATACATTCTGAAGTGGCAGGTAGAATGAAAAGGATCTTTTTCATTGTTGCAATCTGTTTCTTGCAAAATGGTTGACGAGGTTAATCCTCTCCTGGCTGCACTCCTGCTTGTCACTCATGCTTGGGAGGGGAACAGGGTCACTCTGCAGAGAGGACTCGTAGTAAGGACAGACTTTTAGATGAGCCGATATGGGAGGGATGTCTGCCATATGCCACGAATCCACTGAGGAGAAGAGGTGACTGAACTCCCATACCTGGAGAGAAACAGGAAGATACAAAAGGAAATATGGATCACAGTGAGTATGGGATTCCCTATTATATATTACAATGATGGATTGAATGATTCAGTACGCATATCTCACAGGTTTGGCCTTCCACTTGGCTCCTCCATGCGAGTAGGTCTTCTTCTCCCAGCGGAGGGTGACCATCCCTCTCTCCTGCAGCAGAGAGGAGCTCACCTGCCTCATCAGCTGGGACACCAGAGCCAGCTGGGACAGGGACAGACTGTCCAGGAAACTGGCCATGTGGCACAGCACCTCGTAGGGCAGCGAGCTCAGAGAGTCCTCTGGTCCTCCTCCCCGACCTCCTCTCTTCCTCTGAGTGGTGGAGGAGTCCACTGAGCTCCTGGACGGCTGGGAGTCGTCACCTACTGAGGCTACAGGTGTGGGACGCATGTTGAAACTCCTCAGCTGTTGACTGTAGGGATGAAAATATAAAGCCCTTCATTCACTAAACAAATACAAGCCAATAAGTTTCTAAACTTTGTTTGTTTGTGTCCAACTTTGAAATGTACTAAATGAACATCATGCTGTATTGGAGGAGACTTGAAACTATGGATTGAGACATAAACTCATGTTTACTATGTTTACTGAAGGAATAAATCAAGTGAGAATTAGGATCATTTTCTCATAGACTTCTATACCATCAGACTTATTTTTGCAACCAGAAGAGTTGCCCCCTGGTGGCTGTTAGAAATAATGCAGGTTTAGGGCAACCTGGTGGCAACCTGTTGAATGTAAATCTAATATTCATTCTCTTTTAGCTCTGCTTTTTGTCTCTACCAACTCCTGAGGGAACCTTCTGGCTCTTTAGCTGCTAAACTGTCTGTCTGCTGTTTGGTAATGAGCAGCTAGCGTACACAAAGCTACGAGAGTGATGAGAGTATAAATCATGGCCACTTTAAAAGTTTGTGATAATATTTAATGGCAAATGGTAGACCCAAATATTTGAATCTGTACCGATGAATGTGAAATGTGCTCACTCATAGGAGACGATGGCTTTGTGTGTGGAGGGCTGAAACCTCCTCTGGCTGTAGGTGCATCCCAGGTAGGATAGGGGGCATCTCTGCTCGAACCATCCACTCAGACTCGTCTGGATGTCACTGTGGACGTTCCTGGGAGGGAGATGAGAAATCAAACATCCATTACTTTAATGTTAATCCTTCAGCTGCAGGTAGGTTCACGGGGAACAAACCACAAACACACACCCAAGTCAGTATAGACACCTGAAATGTGTGGGGAACTCCCTGCGGTGGAAGGTGTGACCGCAGAGGAAGGTGAAGGCACAGCTGGCTCTGGTGTTTCTGCTGTTCACCCTCTCTGACTGCAGCTGAAGATGAAGCTTCAGAGGTCTGTCGACTATCACCTCAGCCAGGGTCGTCTTCGCTTGAAACGGAGCCGTGCGGAACGAATGCGTCTGTGTTGCCACGTCGACATAAAGCCCATCGGATGCATTTGACTCACTGATCTGCATGGAAACCAATCGATCACAATCCCTCATTAAGTCTAGTTTAAAGGGCCCCTGTTTTTGCATGAAGTGCCTCACTAAAGGTTGTTGTACCAACATGTAGCCATTCAATACATTTACCATAAGTTTTGTTACTCTTCCACACGATATAAAAATCAAACTGCAGTAACTTGAAACTGGTTTTAGTATAAACAAAAACACATTTAAATTAGGATTTTTCTTTGTTTATTGGAGAATAACTGTTGCTGCTGGTACAATTTATTTCATTTAGCTTGTTACCCATCATGTTACATAAATACACGGTCATAAATATCTGACTGACCTTATGACCCCTGACCTCCCTTTCAGCATAGACCAGCAGGGTGGCTGCTGCTTCATCACTGAAGCAGTCCTCTTCCTTGAATACGAGGTCGGATGTGTCCACACTGCGAGGCTCGCTCGGAGGCCGACTTGTGTCGTAGTGATGAACCCGCCGCTTGCTGTAGTGATAGCTGTCAGGGATCTTACAGGAAGAAATACATTTTACATAATAAGTACAGAGTACAGTGAACACATCTTTTCGTAAATGATTATTGGCTCAGGTTGACTGCAGTAGGTTTTGTTTACACTTATTTTAAAGCTGTATTGGGCCATTTTAGGCTTTAATGTAGTTGAGTGCAGTTTTATTTGGATGTAGTGCTTCCTAGTTGCTGTAGTTTGTACGTCACTCTTAATTTTGATTTTTCACTTCCTGTTGGTGGATATGTACTCTACCCGACTCCAAATTTCATTTGGGCAAAAAGGGGTCTAAACTAGGGATGTAACAGTTTGATTATGGCAAATTTGTCCTGAACCGTTGGGTACAGGTTGTTCCGTATGCGTCATCCTCAGTTCGGTACGCCCTGTGACCAAAACAATTACTGGTAACATAGTTTATTTTTGCCTACTCCTCACACATGAGGAATGGAGGTTCTAGAGTGTGAGTTTTCACTCAAGGGCCAGAGATAGAAACACCAACCTTGTGATTAAAGGACGACCTGCTCCAGCCATTGAGCCACAGCTGCACAGTGACAAATATGCTTGTCAAAATAGCTGGCGTCTGTACAGTCTTTGTTCTCTGGTGTGCCCACACGTCGTACGTAGGCAAGTATGTGAACGATTGTGTTCATGATGCAGCTGGTTGTACTGTAAAGTACTGTATATCTCCAGCCTTAGCCAAGTTAGTCAAGCTCAATGGACCACAACTTGAGTCAAACTGTATGCCAACATCGATTAACTAAAGTTCAGTTTACCTACGGATACACTTCAAACATTTAATTCATGACGGCATAACCTGAACGTGTCAATTAGAGACAAACACAGACAAGGCAAGTCTTTCTCCCCACGACATTCAGGCAGCATCCCACTGCAGTTTTAGACCGCGTCAAAGAGAATACTGAATATACTAAACTAATACTAAAATCCCAGCAATGTTCCTTCACTTGTGCATTTTAATAAGTCTGTCAGTGCACAAGCTACAGTTCAGGAATTATCGACAGATGAGAGTCTTATGATTGAGCTTTACTGACATTTGTGTTAAAGTTTTTTACTTTTTCTTATTGACAATATGCCTGTAGCCAATTTAAGTGCCTCAACTTTTACAATAAGAATAATGGCCAATTAGCTGCCATTTCTTTTTGCATTTCCTGGAATTTTATTTACCGTTACACCCCTACACACTGTACACAGGTATGTTACTGCTAAGGCCCGATGAGATTTAAGCCCTGGATATGCACGAAAAGAAGGAGGTCATCACTACGGTTGATGCAAACTCACCCCTTATAAGGGTGATAACAACAGTTCAATTTCAGCAATTTAACAGTAGCTGGAATGATCACCTTGAAAGAGCGCAGGGTCTGGTCTGGGATAGGCTCCAGGCTGCCGTAGGTAAAATCGTCCTCCCTCGGTATACGGGCCTTGTTTTGTCCGAAGGTAAGCTCCTGCCCCAGACGCTCCAGCACCCCCTCCTGCCACGGGGCCTGACCAGTCTTATCTATGTCTACGAGCGCATCATCTTTGTCCTTGACCTTCTCACCTGGCTTGGGATTGTCTTGGTTTGCCTGCGCAACAGCGCAGCCGCCTTTGTCCATGCCGAACATCATCTCACACAGGTCGTATCTCTCTTTGTTGATGCCTGAGGCTTGCCCCACTCCGTTCTGTAGAGTCTCTTCGACAGCGTTATCCTCACACAAGCCGTTTTCTGCAGGAACAGAGGTGTGAAGTGTACAGACAACAGATGAGGAAAGAAAGACCAGAAATTACAACGCTTTTGTATTATTTTGTGTGTTTAAATTATATGTTTTACCTTCATCTGTGACACCGTTGACGGACCCTCCCATTGACGTCTCTTCTTTCTTCTCATCCTTTATTTCCTCCTCGTCTGCTTCGATCAGCTCTGGAAAGACAGCCTTCAGTTTCAAGCGGTCATAAAGGTCTGATTGATCCACCAGGGCCATGGCAAGATCCAGAGGCTCCCCTTGCCCCTGGATTTCCTTCAGCACGTTCACCTGCAGGGCCAAGTCGCCGTGTGGGTTCATGTCATCGGTCGGCCACCGGAGCCACTCCATGGAGCAACACACTACGCTGGCCGGACACAGCTGGAGGTGAGCTGCCTGCGAGGAGCGGGGCAGGTGGAGCGGGCAGCCGTACTCGGCGTTGAGGCAGGGCACCCTCACGTTGGGGCAGAGCAGCAGGTGATCCTCCTCTTTACAATGGTGGAAGAGAGCTCCACAGTGCAGGCGGCAGGGGATGACCGCACAGCACACAGAGACCTCCACCCGAGCCCTGCAGCGCCGGCTGTAGCAGGAATCACAGTGGACATGCTGTCGCACCCTGGAGGCTCGAGAACGCTGACTCTGATTGGATGAGAAAGAAAAAGAGAGGAGTCAGCTTGGATAAAAGATTAAGATTTACAACATAGAAAACAGTGCATAATAAACATGGTGCATCAAAGCTTTAACTCAACATGAATTAGATGTGGAAGGTCTGTGACTCACCATATCTAGAGGACACTGAAGCAAAGGTTTTTGTAATCCTGCAAGTAAAACACAGAAATGACACACAGATTCATACGTAAACCATGTAATGTTAAATACCCCAAATAGTGGATAACATAGTGTTACTCGATCTTTTTGGATTGGGATCCATCAGTCACATATTATGACCAGGTCAAACAAAGAGATAGAAAGAGTGATTCTTTCCTTCTGGTTTAATATGAATTATTTTTAGAGGCCTGACATAGTAAAATGATATTATTATTCTCAAGAGTTTTAGGCAGCATTAATGTTGTTTGTTTTGTATATCATGTATCTTATGATCCCTACGCCTCACAACAAACAGTAATGGTAAGCATCAACATCTGTTCTTCAGCTTGGCTCCAAAAGCACTCTTACAAAACTGCATTTAAATGTATTTATTCCATGTTCTTACTAAATGAGGAGCTGAAGGTAAACTAGAGGCCTATATATTGTTACGGTGTGTGTCCTGAAGCACAGACGAGCACTTGAAGCAACTTTACTTCCGTTGTGTTACTGGTCTAAGAAGTTTCACTGGACTGTTTGCAACTTAAAATAACAAAACTAAACATCATCGAAGTATTTTAACACATTCAAAGCGGGATCACACCGTATCCAGTCAAAGCTCTTACCAAGGTGCCACTGCAGAAGTGTTGCTTCCTCCTCGTTTTATAACGTTGCTTTTGGTCTCTGTGCTGTTTGTACTGCCAGGTTAAAATTAGCCAAGAAGCACCAAGCAAGTTCAGCAGGAGAACCCCCCCCACCCCTTTCAGTTTCTGCAGCGGACTCAATCACGGCCACCAAACTTCTATCTATTCATTCCTGGGCCGAATGAATGTGCACCAGCATCAAGCACAGAGCCATCAGCTTATCTTCTGTTGGAGTGACACTGACACTTTTTATTGAATCTCCACTAGAGGACTCTGTTTGGATATGAAGTAACACAAATTTTGCTCTCTGCAGCTGCAAATCAATTGTGCAAAGCACCACAATATGAATCAGAGGGAGAGATTTCCTGATGCAAGTCTCTGAGGGTGCTGGTAACCCAAACCATGTTTCTGACCAACTGTGTAACATTTCTCAGTCAGTGCTCGGCTCTATTTATAAAACACACACATAGCTCAGACACACACACACACACACACACACACGCACAGAGACACTTGGTCTTTAAAGCACAAGACGGAGTACACGGAGTATGTTTCTCTGCTTTCCCTTCTCTTAGAGCGGTGGGCTTAAGTCTGTAGTTCTGTTCCCATTGACTCTAATGTCACAGGACCCTGCTGGTAACCTTGTGTGTGATGACATGCAAGACTATGAGATTCATAGTTTCTTCTTGGTTTGCAGGACCTGCAGCATCTGAAGCATGGTATGGTTTTATTTTGCAACTCTAAGATTCAGTTTTCCACTTTTATTTCTCTTTAAGTTGCTCTAATCATCTTATTTTACAATAGTTGACAGTATCACTTACGGTATATTCTGTTTTGCCTCTCCATCGAAGCTATAAGATGTTTACCCAAAGTGAAATATTCAAAGCCACAATTCCATGTTTATTAATGGCTGACCCATTTCACTATGAAGCAAGGAATCTCTGTTCTTCACTTATTTCACATCTGATCTACTTGGCAGATGTAGGGAATGCTTTCTTCAAACTTGGAAACCTGACAAGTTCAATGTTAATACACTTTAAATAAACAAGTAAACATTGCTCTGTGTAGCATAATGCTGCTAAGCTGGGCCCCCTGTGTCCTTGACCTGACTCTGAGGAGGCATGTTTTCAAAGGGCACACTAGTAGAGATTAAAAGCCCCAAATTAAAGATGATTTTGTGACTGTTTTTATGCTTTTTATCTGTTGCATCATTTTCCTTTCTTCCTCCCTGAACTCAATCAGAGTCAGCGTTCTCGAGCCTCCAGGGTGCGACAGCACGTCCACTGTGATTCCTGCTACAGCCGGCGCTGCAGGGCTCGGGTGGAGGTCTCTGTGTGCTGTGCGGTCATCCCCTGCCCCCTGCACTGTGGAGCTCTCTTCCACCATTGTAAAGAGGAGGATCACCTGCTGCTCTGCCCCAACGTGAGGGTGCCCTGCCTCAACGCCGAGTACGGCTGCCCGCTCCACCTGCCCCGCTCCTCGCAGGCAGCTCACCTCCAGCTGTGTCCGGCCAGCGTAGTATGTTGCTCCATGGAGTGGAACCGATGGCCGGCCAACGATGCCCATTCTTATCCAAACACTGAGCTACTGAAAAACCTGCTCAGGGAAAGAGAGCAGGGAAGATGTCTGGACTTGGCCATGGCCCTGAAAGACCAGGACCTCCTGTTTCACTCCATGAAGATGAGAAATCTGTTCCCAGAGCTGACCCAGAGTGTGGATGAGGGCGAGAAAGAAAGGAGGGACGACAGGAGGAAGGAGAAGCAGAGGAAAGAGGTAGCAGAAAAGGCAGCTGCAAAGGAGGCCAGTGATCGGGAGTCTTTGAACATGTCCGACATGCACACATCTGGTGAAAAAGAAGAGGAGGATGAAGATGAGGTTGATGTTGAATATGAGCAGGAGCTAACCCAGGAAGAGAGAGAGGCTATTGCCTGGGGCACAGAAGTGAATGCTGATCTGTTGGAAAACTACAACGCCTGGGAGAGCATGTTCAGTATGGAAAGAGGTGGCTGCAGGAAAGCTGGAGAGGCAGTTATGGGAGGCAGAGGAGACAGCCTGGCCACTCTGACAGAAGAAGATACATCAGATACCTGTATGGATGCCTCAGCATCAAACTCCTGCCAACAGGGGAGCAGTGCATGCATTGCTTCCTCTTGTCTCGCTGAAAAACTGAAAAGGGAATTTGTGTACGGACACTTGGAGCCGATGAAGATTATCACTGTGCGTACCTTTAAAACCCCAACCAGCTTCTCTGCCAGGCAGTCCCGCATCCGCAACCCCAATTTCTACAAGAGGGAGAAGCGAGCTGTGGATACCAGCGACCTCGGGGTGGTCCTAGAGAAGATGCCAGTGTGGGATGAGGTTCAGGTGAGAGAGATTCATCCTCCAATCTTTTAAATCCATCGCACCTCTTTTGATTAAAATGTCCTCGTTTTGGTCATTTTGGGGCGCTTAAGGAAAGTGTATTTTCCTGAGCGTCTGTCAAGCCAGAGAGAAAATTTAATTGAATATCTCACTTTCTTTTTACTATAAAAGCATTTTCAGTGCTGGAAGAATTTGTCAATCAATAGAATATTAAAACATTTTTATCATACATTCATCAGGTAAGGTAAGAGTAAGGGTTTTGGGCTGTTGGTTAAAAACCAACTGAGCAAGTCATTAAATGACCTCCTCAGTGGAATTCAGTGGCATAATGTTTAACTCTTCATAAATCCTAATGACCACAGATAAACTAAATATACTATCACATAATGTTTTCGATGTGCCTCTCAGGCCTCTCTGCTGTGCTCCCTGGAGAAGGAGCAAAGAGGTCACCTCATTGCAGAGAGCGTATGCACGGACGCTCTGTTACAAGATGAAGGCACACAGACCTACAACTTCTTGTCTGCTCCTTTCCGGAGAGAAACATCGCTGGCTGACCTGACCGCTGCCAAACCGCTGGAGCTGCACCTACAGCTGCAGGTGGAAAGCGTCACCAGTCGGCACCACAAGGCCAGCTCTGCCTTCACCTTCCTCTGTGGACACACCTTCCAGCGCAGAGAGTATGGCAAACATTATAAGTGGGTTTACTTATTTTTATTTTTTTTATCCAATTATCCTTTGAAATCCAATTATTGCCTGCATGGGAAATAAGAAATTCCAAAAATATGTAGTTTCTTCACAGTTTTAAAAAGGTGCTTTGTGTAAAATATGGCCACATGTGCCAAACGAATGGGGATCAACAATTTCACATCTACTACTGCGTCCACACATATTCTAAATGTACAGTTATTGTTCATACAAAAAAAGCCAACTATTAACTAAAAGCAGGGTAAGAATATGCTAAACTTGACCAAACGGTTGAAACTCCGAGAGCTGGTCAAAATAACATTGCGATCTTATAATATTCATGTGTGGCGTCAACCCATATTGTTTTTACTCTGCCACTAACTGGGGACTGTACAATTCATATACGTTTTGATAGTTTCTTTATGATTAAATCCAAAGTGACAGAAATGAGAATACGTCTCGTATCATTATGTCCTCCCGCCAGAACACTAATTTGCCGGGAGGAGAGGGGCTTTTGCTAGCCAGATCTTACACCTTAGTAACACCTTAAAAATTAAAATATAAAATGAAATTGTGTTTGTACTCATACCAGTCCAGATTATCCTGGAAGATAGAAAGTAGGTTGTAGATAAAAGGATATTATTTAAATATTAGAGACTCGATCATTATTACTTGAATCTATTTTGTAGGAATTCACCTAATCTGATTCATCCAGATGCACTAACCACCACATCTCTGATGTTACAGTGAGATGAAAAACAAACCCTACAAATTAAAAACTTCAGGTCAATAGTATGCTCTGGTTTGATGTTACATTGTTTTGTTGAACCAAAGCAATGCACAAAATCACATTTCATTTTCTAATAATAAATGCTCTCACATGCAGGAACATCCACAGTGACATCCAGATGTGTGTGAGTGGATGGTTTGAGCAGAGATGCCCCCTGGCCTACCTGGGATGCACCTACAGCCAGACGAGGTTTCAGCCCTCCACTCATGAAGCCACTGTCTCCTACAAGTAAGATACAACAGTTCATCATTATTATGGTGTCGTACTGATTCACATTCATTTCATTTCTTTTTGTAGCACCCTGACTAGTTTTAATCTCTTATCTTACACAGGGGCTACACATTCTTCTAGCATCATCATTCCTTTCCTGTTATTGTTAACCAAGTTCCCCTGCAGATAAATTACAGTCAGTCAGGGCAGTACAAATCTAATGAACCTTTAAGAACACAGTTTCCACTTTTGTTTCAGCGAGGACCTTGGCTGCTTTAGCCTGCATCCCACCGTCCCTGTTTCTCCGGGTGAAGCTTCCCAGCCGTCCAGGAGCTCAGTGGACTCCTCCACCACTCAGAGGAAGAGAGGAGGTCGGGGAGGAGGACCAGAGGACTCTCTGAGCTCGCTGCCCTACGAGGTGCTGTGCCACATGGTCAGTTTCCTGGACAGTCTGTCCCTGTCCCAGCTGGCTCTGGTGTCCCAGCTGATGAGGCAGGTGAGCTCCTCTCTGCTGCAGGAGAGAGGGATGGTCACCCTCCGCTGGGAGAAGAAGACCTACTCGCATGGAGGAGCCAAGTGGAGGGTGAAGCAGACGGTGAGATAAGAACCAGTGTGTCTATCAGGTTTATTTGACCATTCATCAGCAAGTTTAAAGTTTAAATTATGTCACCAAAAAGAAAGTGATTTTTTAATATTTAAGAGATGGTCAACATTAAGGTGAGAGTACAGTATATGATACAAGATAGAATCAGGTAGGGCGTAGGTATGGATTTGATCTCTATTGAATAAAAACACTATTATCTTCATGAAGTTTGGATTTATTGCAGGACTGTTAGTTTTAGTTATGTGTACCAATTAAAACTAGCTCCTCAGCCAGCCACATCAGTTAAATGCTGCTTAAAAGTTGATCCAAAATCTAATTATATCACATAATTATAATACACTAACTTGTACTTTTGATATATCTGATAGTACTTGCTGTAATAATTTTACATTAATAATGAAACTGAGTAGTTCCTCTGTAGAGACCTCAAGTTTTATAACGGCTAAATATTCTACGTGCAGCTTCACCACAAAGAGTACTGTCCTTTACTGCCTTAACTAACATTTAATATTTGATTGATTACAATTCCAGCACAATTTTAGGAGAATATTGAGTGTAAATGAAAACATAGGACTGAATATCCCGATCTCTCTCTCTTGCCTGTCTCTTCTCTGTGACTTCAGGTTTGGCACTTCAGCACTTTGTTCTCTCCTGTGGACGATTGGTGCTTCCAAGACGTCCCGTCCATGTCAGAGCACCTAAAGGTGTGTCCCTGCTATGAGAGAGAGTCCAGGACAGAGAAGGTTCACCTGCCTCACGTCAGAGAAGAAGAGGTCCAAACTAAGACAAGCTGTGATGGTCCCACTCTTACCCAATTGTTCCAGCAGAAGAGGATCATGATGTAGTGTATGCTGCTTTAATCTGTTATTATAAAGCATGTGCTTAGTTGCATGATGCCTCGTTTAAAAATGTAGACACTGAATATAACTTTTTGGAAACACACAACCTGAATAAATACTTGAGCGGTTGTACATAGCAACAACTGAGCTGAACTGACCATATGATGTTAAATAATCAGTGTTGCATAAAAAATGCAAAAAGAAAAAAAAACGCAGCTTAGGCAGTTTATTGGAGCTGATTGCTGCCCTTTTTATGTCTAAACTCCCAAAAGACATCTGCTAACTTGTGCTTCATCTCTACTTTATTGACATTAGAAGTTACAAGCAAGCACTATAAGTTACAGTGGTCCTTCGGGTCCTTGAACCACTTTTCAACTGGACCAATGGAGTCATTTTTGACAAGGGGAAACCCAGAGCTGGCTTCTCTAGTGGTCGTTGCTAGTGTTGTGTGTGCTGGGGAGGAAGTCTGCCCTGAGCAGTCTGTAAAACAGCACCATGTTCATGATGGAGATGAGACTCAGGCCTACTGTCCCCATCATCAGGACGTAGCGAGACATACGTTCACTGTGAGCCGCCAGCCAGCGGGTCATCCAAGCTAGCGTGCAGACACGAAACACCAATAACCTGCAGGTCGAGACAAAAAAATCTGTGAGAAACTCTTTTTTTTTAACCAATATGATATCATTAGAGAAATTAGTGCTCGAGCTGGAAGGCAGATTTTGTTGTTGTTGGACAAAGCCAGACTAGTTGTCGGTGTCCCGGCACCAGCTTCATATTAAACTGATAGATATGATATCGACCTTCTCATCTGAATCTCAGCAAGAAATAGGACAAGTTCACATCCTAAAATGTCTAACTATTCCTTTGAAGTTATACATCTTGAGGAATATTTCTTAACTTTTTTTCCAGATGAACTAGCAGCTTCTTAGCAAAGATTACTTAATCATTCATTTAAATACATATGAAAGGCCACCCATGGATTTTTTTGCACACGCTCACATATGAACACTTTCTTGTGCAAGAGGTAGTTTTGCTATTGATTTTCACAGTTGTGAAACCTCCAGAGGAGAGTCACCGTGCCACGTACGTTCCCAGGTTGAGCCAGCTGGTCACTCTGTAGGTCACAGAGGGGCGAGGGGCTGTGATGTCCGACCCTGGCACGTTCCTCCGTCCTGACAGGAGGAGGAGCTGCCTGATGTGAAGGAAAACTGAGTTGATCTCAACCAGCAAAGACACCACGGAGTAGCCCACAAAGAGGTGGGACGTCACAGAGAAACTGAAGCAGGAGAGCACCTGAGAGAAGAATCAGAGGTTAACACACACACACACACACACACACACACACACACACACAAGCAGAAACATGCAGCAAAACTCAATTCACACTCTCACTAAAGAAACCACACATTAAAATGAATGAAAAGAGTTTCTGAGGTCACTTTTAGATTCCAATACTTCTACTGTAAAGTAGATGATCAATAGATAATTAATACCTCATACACTAAATCCCCTACTGTGGAAGCACTTTCTAAGGGTTTAGAGTATTAAATTATATATAAATTAATGTAAATAATCAATCCATCATTATACATCCTTAAAAATAATTAGAAAGACAAGTTGCAAAAAGTCAATTTTGTCCTCTGCAGGTGAACATTTTGTGAGTTTGATAAAACTTTTAAGGACATTGAAGGAGCATATACTGAAGGATATTGTTATAATCTGGCAAACATAAAGCCTTACATCTTATTAGAACTCAACACAAGCAGACCTTGAATTATGAGTGTTGAGTTACCTCTCTGGTTCAATCAGCAACTTAAAAGAGCTTCACAGAGCGACTCATTAGCTCAGCTATCAGCAAAACGTGTCCTCTATTTTACAATCTCGTGACCTAAAGTCACTGAGCTGTTTTCCTGCTGGAGGGGAATCAGGTCGTGTGCGATTTAATTCACTGACCTCATCGTTACAACACATAGACGCGTCAAGGCTGGAAAAAGTCAACCTAACAAATACTTTGTACTCAGATCCTAATGACACCCAGATGGAATCTTTGTTTTCTGTTGATCCTTCGTCATATCTTTAAATATATGTCATCAATTAGTTCTATCTCTAGATTTTCTGAAATGCAGATATTCTGTCTATGTTCAAGATTATCCAATTTTCGAACTTTCTACTAAAACAACAAATATGTCACGTAAAAAAACACAGACATGCACTGCAAATACAGAAAACACAAGCAAATACACAACAACGAAACAGAAGCATCCAGGGGGACACTTATTTATTTGCAGTGTGTTGAGCTGTCTCGGCCACCGTGCTATACACACATGTAAACACACACACACGCGCGGTGTAAAGTTTATTACCGCGGTGTGGTGGAGGATCACCTCCCAGGACCGTTTACATGACTGGTTCAAAGCCACGTCCAAGAAGTCATGGATAAAATAACCTAGAGGAGGAAGTACATGAGTTATGTAAGCATGCAACACATGTACATTGATACACAAAACATCATTCACTGTTTTGGTTAAGGTTTGTTCAATCCTTTTATTAAATCTTGCAGAACAACATTTTCATCATTTCCCCACTTTGCTTTTTTTACTGTCAGTATATAAACTGGTGTGGTCAGCGTCTGATATCCAAGTGAGGTAAATTAACTTTTACTTGATTCAATCCAGGAACAGATTGTTGCATGACTTGGAAGTTGTTGTTGTGAAAGCCTCATACATTCAAACTCTACATTCAGTGTCTGCTGCTGTAGCAGAGGTTTCCATTCTTAATTAGGTGAAATAACCAAGTTGATTTCTAGCCTAATGTCCGCTGTCTGCTGATGTGTGAGCACGTGCATCTTTGTGTGTCGTGAGCGAGGTTGTCACCTGTAGACACAGCTACGAGACTGTGGGAGAGCAAGGAGTGAGAGGAGATCAGGTCCTCCAGCATGTGAGGTCTAAGGTAGAAACTGCATGTTGAGCGAGAGGAAGAGAAACCGGAGGAAGATATTAAAATAAACGATAGCACCAACTCTGATTACTGTGTCTTTACGCACCATAAGACAGCCCATGATCCTGCCAGCGAGCTGTGAGCTAATGAAGTGCTGATGTTCCTCCACCTCCAGGATTTCTTGCGTGCCAGTTCTGGTGTTGGAAGGAATCTGATGACGGCGTTCAGCAGTTTGAAAGAGCACGCAGAGCCTCCAACAACCAGAAGTGTTGACTTTAAATCCATTACTAGACCTTTACCAGAGAACCTGGCTGCCTGAGTTCACTTCAAATCCCGTGTGATCCTGTGTTCAGGGCACATTTCAGGTCAAACACAATTTGAGGTATGAGAGAAACTAACTGCTAAAGTCTCTTCAACACATGAGCATTGCCCTTTAACACACATCTCTCCCGTCACTTGAACTGACAAACTGATTACTAACAGGTCAAAGATCACAATTCAGGCAAAAATAGAGTCAAACCCCCTACACTGTTCATTTACTCCCACTGTATTTTTTTTTTTTCATTAACTGTTGCTTCACGGGCATAAAATAAGCTTTACACATCTCAAAATGATGACAATAGGGAGCAGGTGTCCAGTACAGAATACAACCCAAAGCAATATGTGTTCATATTAAGGGGACAATGGAGTAAACAGCCACAGAGGGCAACAAGTGGAAAGTGAAGCAATTTAGTTAACAGTTAGACAAAAACCACACTGGCTCATGTTCGCCTTGGTCCAGCCCCTATATGCTGCTATAGGCCTAGACTGCCGGGGGACTTCCGAGGATACACTGAGCTCCTCGCTCCTCTTTTGTTATTCTACTATATCCACTGCTGCTGTTATTATTAGTAGTTGTAATTGTTCCATCATTGTTCTTCTTACGATCATTATTTAAATAATTTATGTCATCTGCATTGAATGTGTTGTAACTCTGTTATGTTGTTCATTCTGTACACATGACATCTGTCACACTTCTGTGTCATAATCCAATAATATAAAATACTTTATTCTGAAATTGCCCACTTTGCATAATGAGTACTTTTACTTTTGGTAGTGTGCCCGGTAACAAAAAGATGTGAGTAGGCTACTTCTTCCACCACAGCCCATTCGCCTACTGAACTACTGTCAAGTTTCTAGCATTTAATAAGTGACTGATTTAAAATCCTTGGGCTTTGCAGTGATGAATCTTGAAACTTGAAACGATGTGTGAATGATGGTAGGCCTGAATCCGGTTTTGTAAGTTGTGCTTTGTCGCCTGTCCATTCAGTGTCGCCTGCTGCTGCCTCGTCAGCCTTTCTCTATACCGCCGCTGTGAAACACAAAAGACCACCATCGCCTTTCTCTGGAACAAAAACGGGGCTGAACATGACCACTGACATCACTGTTCACTCACCGGAGTCCCAAAAGTAACTTTATGTTTGATTTTCGCTCGTCTTATCAAACCCCCCAGAAACGTCCACTTTTTCACTTTGTCTCCCGGGATTAAGGGATGAGGATTGGGGATGGACCGGATGCCGTGGAAATGTACTGTTATCCCATCATTGAGCTGATGAGCAGAAAACAACCTGGGCTGTTGAAGAACTTCTCTCAACGGAGCATCTGACAAGCTTTGAATGTTTCTGGAGGTTTTGTGTATATCTTTGTGGTGCTACAACTGAATCACTGACATGTCTGTGACCAAACCGTGTGAGTAACCTGCCTGAATATTCATACATTAAACAGTCCGGTATAGGCCTACTTTATCAATGTTTCACTGAATTTAACAGCTGTTTAATCATTGGGAGTTTTGTGATTGTCTTAATGATCTGTGTTTAGGAAACCTACATTATTGCTGATGTAGTTTGTTTAACCCCTTTAAATTCCTTTGAAATATGTGTGCATATGTGCACGCTCATGTGTGCGCGTATTCTTGCGTGTGCATGTGTTCAGCCCGTGAGGAGCTTCCGGACTCTGATCCAGAGGACACATCAGAGGAGCTGACTGAGGTGGTGTGTCTGGAGTCAGACCTGCAGGATGGACAGTAAGGAGGAGGGCAGGTGTTCACAACCTGGCAACCTAAAACCTGTCTTTATTTATACATCAGTGCTTTATGTATTACTGATATATAAAATGATTTATGCACCATAAATCAAAGAATTATGACAGCCTCAGATATATGAAACCAAGCCTGTCTCACTGACAAACATGACAAGCTGTTTACACACCATTACTAATTGTCTAATTTAAAGCAGTTGAAGTTGAATAAAAATGTACTTTGGGTGGAAAACTTAGTGCAGTATCTGTGTGTGTGTGTGTGTGTGTGTGTGTGTGTGTGTGTGTGTTTGTTACCTCAGGATGATGGAGGTTGAAGTGGGACATCACAGCGTGCTGTTGACACACAGCGAGGGCAAATACAGTGCCATTGGTAACCAGTGTACGCACTATGGAGCTCCACTCAGTAAAGGTAAAGAGGCACACGGTGTGAGTTTGTGAGCACAGAGGAGCAGGGTTAGGGCTAGGGTTAGGGGTTAGACACCTTCATTCCATTTAATCATATTCTTTTTATGTTTCATCTGCACAGATTTTGTATTTTAATATTGTGCCTTGATTGGCCATTTTCTGAGGAAGAACACACTGAATCTATGAGGATCGAATGCTTTCATCTGTCGGAGCTATAAGTTTAGGCAGATAAAACAGCTTTAATGTAAAGCACACATCACAGTTTGAAATATAGAAATCATTTGAGTTAATAGAAATACGGCATTTTCAATGTGTTCTGCAGTTTAATAGTTTGTCCTAAATTATAGCTTCCTTTCTTAACACTAGCACATGTCAATGATGTGTGTGTGTTCGCGTGTGTCTTCAGGGGTTATTTCAGGCAACACAGTGCGCTGCCCGTGGCATGGCGCCTGCTTCAACGTCCACACAGGAGATCTGGAGGAGTTCCCGGGCATGGACTGTTTACCCTGCCACAAGGTACACACCTGACAGACAGACGGACATCTGCTCTCATTTTACTGTCATTTTAATTTGTCTTCTTCTCTTTTGAAGGTCAAAATTCAAAACCGCAAAGTGTATGTGTCTATAAACAAAAAGGTCAGTAAACAGTTAACTTCTCTGTTTCCTCTGACGTCATGGTGCTTCTTGTTTCATCACGTCATTGTGAATTTACTCGGTTTAGTGTTTAAATCAGCACATATGATAAATGGGTTCATGTGTACCATGTATGTAAATAATTATTTCTGTTGATGGGTTATATGATGTTCATGTTTTCTACATGGTTCAGACTCTCAAGCAGGACAAAAGAGTGAAGAGTATGGGAGCCGCAGTAGCAGGAGTTACTCACACTGTTCTGCTGCTGGGAGGAGGTGAGTGGGGAGCACTCTGAATGTCTTTGTATAAGTGTGTGTGTATATATGTGTGTGTGTGTGTGTGTGTGTGTGTGTGTGTGTGTGAGCTCTGGGCATATGTCACAGACATGTCCTGACATTTTATACAGTAATCAGTTTAATCAGTTAATTGCAAAAAAAATTAGTCAATGATGAAAACGTTTGTTGCAGCCATACTGTTATTACTGCATTTAGTCATTTACTGAGCAGACTATATTACTATACTACTATATTACTCTTATAACATGCTGATCTGCCCTATTTTAAAGTTGTTGTAAGCATGAATAACTAGAATATTAAATAAAACTGGACTAAAACAAAAAAACATACCACACTCAAACTCTAAATATAATTGTTATTTTTATGTTTATATAATGTACATGGTGAGTGCAAGTCTGGTAGATATTGTACATTGTCTTGTATTGACATAGTGAGGTGCTTCATTGGCACTGCATAGAAGAGTATTGGGAATTACTATCGTGAATCTATATAAACTCACAGTTACGTACAGGTATGTAAAATACAGGAATCCATGTACAAGTATGTTATAAACGACTAGGTGTACTACATAGATGAACAGTAAGATACATGGATAATAATTGTAACAAGAATAATTACACAATAAATGATAGGTATGTTTATATATTTGAACGTGGGAGTGGACAGGAAACATCACTGATGAATAGAGATGAATGAATAATATAATGAATGTCAGTAATACAATTTCTCAGTGTGTGTGATAGTATTAACTCTGTGGACGCAGGAGCTGCGTCGCTGATCTGCGCTGAGACTCTGCGGCAGGAAAACTTTGGCGGCAGAATCATCATGGTCACCAGAGACGACCTTTTACCTTACGACAAAACACGACTCAGCAAGGTGCTGCGGGCTGAATGAGATGATACGAACACCAACATTTTAGTGATGAATGTGTTTTTTTTTTGTTGACTACCGTCACCTATTGTACAGGTAATGAATGTGGAGAACGACAGTATTCTGCTCAGGAGGATGGAGTTCTTCCATCAGCACGACATCGAGGTGTGGCTCCGGAAAGAAGTGAGTTCCTTCTCCATCTCCTGTCCACTCACATCTTTAGTCTAGTTGCATTTTTTTGTGACTACAGTCTAAATTTGATTATTTTGGTAATTTGAACTGTGCAACACATTGCAGGCCGTGTCAGTGGACACAGACATGAAGACAGTCGCATTTGATGACGGTTCAGTTCAGAGCTATGACCAGCTTCTCATCTCAACAGGCTGCAGGTGCAAACAAACAAACACACACACACACACACACACACACACACACACACACACACACACACACACAAACATGTGTGTGCAAGTGTTTCATTTGAAACCAGGGCCCGCCTGAGCCTTTCTGAAGCCCCCAGGCAGCCACCCCTTATGGAAATTGTAACAAATACATAAAACATATATATTATGACTTTAAGCTGTACTTCCCAATTTTGTTATCGTGGCCTCAAAACGCAAATGTTTGTATAGATTAGATAAGACATGATTGTATTATATATGATCAATGGATGGATGTCAAGATATTTTTGGTTGAAACTGGTTGGTACAAACTTACGTAAGCACATCATATCAGGTTTTACAGGGAGAAAAGATGATTAGATTTTGACAAAAAAATAAAAAAAATGTATAATTTAATTTCATATATTGTTAAATAGGTTCGCAATATGATCAAGGATGTGATCTAAAAGGGTTGAAAAGACATTTTTCATTTCATCTTAACTTTTAAAAACATCAGGGAGTGTATCATTACAACGAAAGCACAGAGTTCACGTTTGCAATTTCTTATCAGCCTGTTGTGACCGAGGGGCTCCAAGCAGCTTCTTCTAACATGAATTATAAAGCTGTTGCTGCATCTTCAGATCCACAGACAGCTGATATCAAGGCTCATAGCGGTGTGCACTCCTCCACTCTTTATTGTTGCTTTGGTGAAAATGCTTTCTGTGGAACTTCAAGAGTATTTCTTGAAACGTTCTTAAGAAATCCTCCTAAGATTGATTGCTATCAGGAAACGGGGCTGAGACACATTTCTCTTGATTGCAACAATGACCAACAGCAGATAACTGCACCTTAAAAGGGAAAAGTGGTCATTGTTGGAGCACTACTACACTGCACTGCATTGCTTGTAAACAGTCATGGCCTGTCCTTCAGAGCGAAGGGTCTGGATGTCCCCGGCATGAAGTTGGACAATGTCAGGATGTTGGAGACTCCAGAGGACGCCCGGCAAATCCACACAGCCTGTCTGGGCTGCAACGTTGTCCTCGTGGGAACCTCTTTTGTCGGTACTGTGTTTGCAGTATGCAGAATATGCATATATTTTATTTTTATTTGTCTGGACTGGTGATGTGTAGGAAATAAAAACAGAATCTAGAAAAAGACTTAACAGTTTCCTATTCAGCAGTTTTATGGACGTCCAAAACCTACAAAAGGCAGTAAAAGGTTATTGGGCCAACAATATGAAAATAAAACGGATTACAACAATAAATATACTGTTAGATCATTAACAGAGAGTAATAAGAAATATAAAGCTTTATACTTTTCCTTTAAATTACTTATCCTTCAGAGTGAAATGGGTCTGTTCATGTTTTACAAGGGCAATGATAAAAAAGTATAAAGCTTTATATTTCTTTTATACTTCATTGTAATATGTAATGGAGTTCAAACCACATTATTTATTGATGTATTTTGTCGTATTTTATTCTTGTTATACACTTTGCTTCCATTTGATTGTTGTCTACTTTATATTCTCGACTGCACCTTCAAAAGACATTATGTTTTCAGGTATGGAAGTTGCATCTTATTGTATAGACAAAGCCTCCAGCGTCACAGTGATCGGCAGCAGTGAGCTGCCGTACCAGAACACACTGGGTCGTGAAATTGGAAAAGTCACCTTGGCGGTGAGAAAGAGAGAGTCCTGTATTATATCCTCGCATTCATTTTATTTTCAGCTACTTCTAGTTTAAACTCTGCTGTCCCTACAGATGCTGTCAGAAAATAATGTGAAATTCTACATGAATGATAACGTCACGGAGATCAAAGGTGTGGATGGCAAGGTAAAGTGGGGAAAATACACATTGTGCCAATTTGTTTTATCACTTCAAATTCAGACTTGAACATCAGTAAAGAGAGTAAAATATAAAAATCTGAGCACTCTCGGTTCCTCCTGTCATCTGTCTCATTGTCCTTTCTTCCTCAAGGTGAAGGAGGTTGTGCTTAAAAGTGGAAAAGTTATCCCAGCAGATGCTTTGATTGTTGGTATTGGTGAGTGCAATGCAGACATTTTTACACATCTCAATACAATCAATGTATTCATATTATGCTCATTCGCTTTATGACTCTTGAACGTCTTTACATTATTAGACATTTCTGTAACGTACGATCACTTAATAAAAACAGTGAAATGTCTCACGAACATTAAAGAATGCCTATTGTACATTGTATTACCAGTATGTTTTTTTTCAGTAACTATGTTTGAGGTACTGGTAAGCAGATACCTCTGGACAGAGAGGGTCACTTCAGCCTGTTTCCAGTATTTGTGCTGAGCTAAGCTAACGTGTTATCATATTTACTGGACAGATATGGAGATGCATCTTTTTTTTCTGTGTATTTCTCAAAATGTCAAACTTTCGCTTAAAAACTTTCTCGTACTTGTATTTCTAATTGACGCAAAAACATATCTGATAAGCAATAAACGTCTCAACAACAAACAATATTCCTACAAAACACACTCAACCACTTTTGTCCTCTTTCTTTCGTCCACCAGGCATCAAACCAAACTCCGAGTTCCTGCGGGGCAGCAAAATACTGACCGACTCAAAGAACTTTGTAACAGTCGACAAGGTGAGCTAACAACCAGCTGTTCACCTGATTATAGATCTCGTTCTGTGCCTTCATTCTCAACACACAACCTCTCATCGATTCTATAACAACAGATTCACGCAGCTTTTCTAGGACCTCAAAGACAACAGTAGTGTCAACAAACATGCACTTCCTCACATTCATCAGTATGTTGTGTACTATTAATCATCAGCTTGTATTCATCACAGTGACAAACAGTCACGGAAAGCCAGTCCAGAAAAAGGAAAAGGTATCAAAGTAAACACACTACACTACTATGATAGGAACAAAAATGCTGAATCACTCACTAAAACAGAAAGGACACACTGGCACAGACAGAGGAGAGCACACAGACTAAATACACAGTGAAAGGGTGATAACGAGGGACAGGTGACAGCGGGGCTGATGAAGGACAGGTGAAAACAATCATGGCGGGGCAGACAATCACACAAGGGCAGGAAGTGAAGTATCTAAAGCAAGAGACAAAATTTACTGTACCAAAATAAAGCAGGAAATGACTGGAAATAAGACAAACATGACATTAGATCAGAGCGAGACGTGACAGTATCTCCCTCTTGCAGTACATGCGCACCAACATCTCCAGTGTGTACTGTGGGGGCGACCTGGCCACCTTCCCCCTGGCGATGGCCAAGAACCGGCTGGTCAACATCGGACACTGGCAGATGGCCCAAGCTCATGGTAATGTAGTAACAATGTCAATATGGTCACAAAGTCTGAGACGACAGACTTAGATTGTGGCTTGGATTTAAAATACTATATATGTTGTTTAGTTTTATTTCCAGCTAAATGTAAACACTTGATTTCATTGTTTCTAAGGGAGGATAGCGGCTCTGAACATGCTGGATAAATCAAGTGAGCTCAGCTCAGTTCCTTTTTACTGGACCGTCCTACTGGGTAAAACCATCCGATATGCAGGTGGGCACACACACACACACACACACACACACACACACACACACACACACACAGACCCCAACACACACACAGAACCTCAGCCCCCAACATGTGCAGATGTTAGATGTAAGAAAATGGTTTGTTCTTAATATTGTTTGGACCTAATTAAAATAAAGTATGTACAGCATCATTTGAAGATATTTATGTTCATGTTTGTATTTTCAGATTTAAGTAAACAATTAACTCACTAACTGGACCTTTTAATAATAGAGCAACAGTGACAAACTCACTGCATGCGCAAACTATAGACACTAAATCCCGCCTTGATGATTTTTCCACTTATCTCCCTTAAATGTAACTCATGTTTTCATTCTGGTTGTGTGCAGGCTATGGGGAGGGATACACGGACATTGTAATGAAAGGAGCCTTTGAGGACAGGAAGTTCCTGGCATTGTACATCAAGTAAGTTGAAAAAAACAGCTACTGTTGACAAAAAAAAAACATGTAACTCCCGAATGAATATAAGTTAAAATATGTATGTTTGATTAAATCAAAATTGTAACCTGTAGGAATGATGAGGTCATAGCGGCAGCGAGCCTGAACTACGACCCAGCAGTGTCTGCAGTGGCTGAGAGGTTTGCAGCAGGAAAAGTCATCACGAAGAAAGAGGCTGAGTATGCAAAACCTTTCTGTTCTTCTTTCTTTCCAACGTCTAAATGATGGATGACTGGTTGGGATCACAAAGATGTAGAGAGTTTTACTTACAGTAAACAAACAAGGGGGCACAAAGTATCTTATAATGTTTATGGACCTCTAGCAGTGTTTCTGCTGCCCCCAGTTACCCAAAGAAATTAGGTCTGTGACTCAAATGCAAATGTAATGGCAATACATGAGATGAACAAACTGGGGCTAATTAGTGCATGAAAGGATGTAAATCCATGTAAAGTTCTCTCTTTTTCCTCTCCGTGACAGATCAGATGACCTGAGCTGGCTGCAGTTGTCCCAATCTAGACTTTCCTCTAATCTTCTGCTCAACACGTCATCCGTACGATGTTGACATCCATCCGTCTCTTTGTCACCACCTCTCTCACTGAGAGTTTGAAGACCTGGATTAACGTGTGTGATTCAGAAGAGACAGACTTCACACAATCTATAGTGAAGGTTATATTTACACTGTTGTATTAGATGTAAATTGTGCGTCATACACTCAGTGTTCAGGTGAGGGGGACTCCCCCATGCAAACAACAGATACCTCAGACAGCTTTTGGGACTTCTTTTTACAATCTTGATATTTTTTTTTCCTAGAATTTCTTCAGAGTTGTTGAATTTATTTCATGGCTTTATGTCTCAAGGGATATTTCAGTGACAGTCCGGAGACGTCACAGTTAAGATGCTTCGGGATGTTCTCTGCTGTTAATCTTTAAAAGGTGGTGTACAATGCCTGGGGCTGCTGGGAAAAAACACAAGTGGCCTTAATGCCCACTGCGGCCGTGTACGTGGTCCGGTCGGTGAGTCGGAGGGGGGATTATGAGAACAGAGGGGGAGTGCTCAGCTCTTTGAAGCAGAGATGCTGAAATAGGCAACGGTAACAAAACACACCAACAGGGAACAATAGGCCTTCGACAAACCGCACACAAATGCAGTGTGACAAAACCTTCACAAAGGAAATGCTGCGTTTTTTCCCTCTTACCCCCCTCTGTCTCTGTGCTGGTCTGTCGCTGTCTTTACTTCACATCTCCATGTTTACTTTGAGCGTCACTCTCCCTTCCTGTCAACAGCATGCCTCGGTTTCCTGTATTCAACTGATGCAGACTTTTCAAGGCCAGTACCGGTCAGAATATTTTAGAACTGAAGGCTTATATTTTGTACTTGTCAGAAATCATGAAGTTTTTTTTTTTGTTTTTTTTTTAGCAGCATTTAGATCATTTACATCATAATATAATACAAGTTCTGGATAATGAATTTAGAAAGTATTAATGGAAAAAATAACCAGACAAGAAACTCATATTTTTGGGTTAGTTAAACAAACTCGGTACCTGACAAATTAATCAACACATTCATGCAGAAAATTATATAAAAAAAACAACATTCATAAATGTATATTGTCACTGGTATAAATCGTCATACATGTTGCCTTCCGCTCTTGAAGCTAAATGTAAAATAATTTCCATCTCTCTGCTCGCAGTAGGGAACACTGACTGCCCTGATATTGCTGCAACCTCACTTCTCTTGAAGTATTGCATTATACTGTTAAGTAACAGCTTAAAGTGTTAATGTATCTACAGGGAACATCTTTAAGTCTTACTTTGCACTCAAAAACATTGTGACAATAAGTAATTTAGCATATTATGTATTCTTGAGGGAAGAAGTATCAGCTTTGTTCTCCTGAGGAGTTTAAGTGAAGGATGTTCTTTGCCTCTCAGTCACAGTGCTGCACATCAGTCCTCTTGTTAGTAACAGCTTTGTTATCAATGCAAAGTGAACTCTGATGCCCAGGGAGAAATAATGGGAATGTAATTGTCATTTAAACTTTGTTGTCTATTTTGTTTGAATTTGTTCATGCATAAAAAAAAAACTCTCAGGCACAATAGTACCGTCTCTTTTTGCATTCATTAACTTAGTGTTGGAGAATATTATTCACTCAGGGGACATGCTTGTTCTGCCATCTACCTTCCAGCAGTGGTAGTGTTTCTAAGATTTATTTTACAGTCTTTTAGAAGATTTTCTCTTTTTAAAGTGTCTTTAAATTACAGTATAGAGTGCAAGACATAAGTAGAATGAGAGAAGGGTATAACCATGGCTGGATTTAGGACTTTGCACATTTGATCGCTGGTACAGCAGGTCGACCAATGTGCTGAACAGTTTGAGCTTTTGAAGATATTTTATTAGATAGTAGGACAGCATTTTAACATAGCAGTCCCGTTCAAGTCTTACTAGGATCCACACCCACTCTGGTGGATGGCTTTCTGGGTATTTTGGATTTAACCCTCCTCTACCACACTGACCTGTGGACACGCAGATGTGAGGGGGGGGTTCAGTGATCCTGATTGGGTTTCAGTACTGAAAGATCAACATTGCGTCTTCTGTGGAAGTGTACATCATTTAGAATCAGGTGATAAACTGTGCTAATCCTTTATTAAGTTGTAACAGGTCCATTGACCAGGAGCAGGTCCTGTCCTCATCCATGGACAGTCGAGGCACTGCGGATATGAGTTTATTATACCCGACAGAGAGAGCATTTCTATCGAGTGCTTTTAAGGCTATTGAATTGGCAACATGCTTGATTTCTCTTCAGTGCAACCTCTTACTGGCCCCCAAAGATCTTCACTCTGTGGCACATTGTTGCTAAATCTGTTTTAAACTGTCTGAGATGAACAGCGTAAGGCTCTCACTTGCTTATTTAATTCAGTCTGTGCTCAAATGCAGTAGTGACAGTAGCCTTTTTCTTTCCTCTCTCTTAAGGAACAGTCTGTCTCAAGGCACCCTGGGTTTCTTTTAACAGAGTGTCTCTGTGTGCAATGTAACGCTGCCGCCTGTTGGCCCTGTACAGCTCCAGCCTCTTCTCCTCAGCCTGGGGGTCCTCCAGCACTCCCTCCCATCTAAGGCTCTCCCTGGCCTGGGCGCTGAGTGGCCCAAGGCCGCTGGTTTTGGTTGTAGATGTCAGCAGAGCTGGTGAATCCATGGGGTGTTTTTTACTCCTCCGGCCGCTGCCAGCGAGTCGCTCCCCGTCCTTTTTACCGGATGCTCTGAGCTTGGGCAGCTGGCCTCGGGGCTGACCTGGACTCTGTGGGGGCAGCAGGGACACAGGCGAGGTCTCAGGGGGCAAAGACACAGCCTGAGGTTTCTCTGTAGGGGGAGGGGGGACATAACATGTAGGTTCATGCTCACTGCCAAACAAAGCTGAGGGTTTAGATTACTAATGACTCCCTCTGGAGCTGGAAGGCTGATGGCTTGGTTTACAGTACTGAGCTGTAATAGGACAGTGTGGGGAAGCGACACTGGGAGCCTATTCCCTCTGACCTATTCAACCCCGTAGAGAATCCACGACAGCACCACATGACCCTTATACTTGTGTTTACATTGTGTACAATTACAGTGGCCTTGGTTTGAACTGCCAAAGCGATGACGCATTAGGGTCAGTTCAAATTATTGTTTCTCCAACTCTTGGTTCAGTCTGTGCTCGTTAAGTCTGTAGCATGACTAATTATAAATGCCCGCTGTGAGTGAGATTTTGGCCAAAAGGTTTTTCATTATGTTTATTAACATATATTTCATGGCCTGCTTTTAGACCATTTTTTTATTACTCAATTTTTGTGACGGCGATGAATGAGGATGTTGATCCCTGTCTCTCAACTCTTGAAAGAAAATTAAGAATTTTTTTTTTTTTTAAATTCTACTTTTAGGATTATTTATCTCATGACTTTACAGTTGTTTTGGTTTTCTGGCCCACATCTTTACTCCTTTGTTTCACTCTCAATGCTCTTATAATTTTGTAAAGTCATAGATTGTGAAGAATGGTGCTTTTTTATTGCTAATTTTTGCTGATACCTCAACAGCATTTTTTTTTAAAAAGGGATTGATCATCTGTTACTTTACACCGATGGTGGAATGTAACTGACATCTAGTTGAGTATTACTATTTTACGCTGTTTAAGACTTCTGCTTCATTACGTTTGAGGGGCAATCATTGTGTTTCTTAGTCCACTTCATCTGTTTGACACTTGTAGTTTCTGGTTTTATTAAATTGAACATCGATTAAAAAATATGATGCATTGTAACAGATAAACTAACCAAGTGTGAATAAAGTAGTTAAAATTAGCTCCACCTCAACCAAATACAACATCAGTGATCAGTAATGTATTAGCAATAATTAAAGCTGTAATACAACATTGACTGTGGCCCTTTTCCTACACAATTCATTATTTTACTTTTGAAATATAATATTAATTGACTGAAAATGCTTTCGTATTTTTGACTTTTACTTGTAATGTGTTATTTGTATATACAGTAGGTGTAGTGCTCCTTGTAATGAACGGATCTAAATACTTCTTCTTACACAACAAACTGTTTACCTGTATTTTCTGTGGTGGAAGCAGTTACTTTCTTTCTTTTCTTCTTCTTCGTTTTATTGTCAGAGCTCCTGGGTGGCTGCAGCAGCTTACAGTCGTTGTCTTCTGGCATGATGTAGTCTGGACGCACAGAGCTGGTGAACAGGTCTGTGCGAGCTGAACAAGTTTAGTCTCAGAACAAATGTAACGGAGACACCGAGACCTCTTCGTTTACGCACAAGTAGCGGGGCTGATCCAGCGAGTATTGGCCGCTTTAGTCCGAGTGAAGCCGCTTTATTTCCCGTGGTATAATATCCCTTTGCATGTTGTAACTACCTCTGATAATTTAGAGTAGTTTGTTCCGGGACACGCACTTCCACGATCACGCTTTACTGCTGCATTGCGACGCCTCTCCATGGCAACATGACACACCTTCTCAGAGAGGATAAACGTGAAGATGTGTGAATGCAAACGTGTTGCAGACAAAGCTATACGCTCTCTTCATTCATTTAAGATGTAATGTTTGGAAACGGATACAAGAAAATAAAAAAACACGTTAAATAATTATTATTTGAATAAATAACCGGAAACCATTTTACAACCTATGACAAAAGAAAACTCTACTTCATGCCTATGATGTGACCGTCATGGCCGAAATGTACTGACAGCAACACATGTTGTGATCTATAATGTCTGGATTGCGCCTTCAGACTACCTCCATAACACCACCATTGAGCAAACGATTGATCCCGACGTGATTTGAACACGCAACCTTCTGATCTGGAGTCAGACGCGCTACCGTTGCGCCACGAGATCCTGTACTGTGCCATGTTGTCACAGCAAATACGTCAAGACATGACGAGTGACACATGTCTAAGTACAGAACAAATACAAACAGAAGCTGAACAAACATAGATATAAATACATTTAACCACAATGTAGCTCTATAAAGCCTATAACAGGGGTGTCCAAACTTTTTTCAAAGAGGGCCAGATTTGATAATGTGAAAATGCCCAAGGGTCAACAGTCCCTGCTGACATTATTTTAAACAATACAAGTAGCCTATACATACATTGTTATTTAATCATTCTATTTTCAATGACAGCGAATAGCAATGTAACCAAATGTAAGCATTCATGTGTGACCGGACTTTGGGCATGCCTGGCCTAAACCTTAGTTGTTTCCTGTGAAGATGGAAGTTTATTTGAAAAGACAGTATGCATGTAACAAGCGAAAACACTCATGTTGCTGGACTTTTGCAGGAAAAATAATATAAGTAATTTCGTAAGATATCAATAAAACGGGGATGAATTTATATCATTGTATAAAGAGAGTGACATGAGAAGATTAATCTCATGTCTGTAAATTAAATCAGCTATAATCACTATTTTAAAGTGATTAGTGACTCGTCTAAAACATTTCAAAAAAGGAATAACTTCAATAGAATCATTCTGATACAATGTAGCTTCTTTACATTCTATTATAATGTAAAGAAGTTACATTCTGATGCAATGTAACTTCTTTACATTCTATTAGAATGTAAATAAGTTACATTCTGATACAATGTAGCTTCTTTACATTCTAATAGAATGTAAAGAAGCTACAGTGTTGCCTTTTCTTTTCTTTTCTTCCGACAAGAACGTAATTTTGTCAGGTTAATAAAAAAATGTCACTTTACTTCCTGACATTATTGTTACTTTACCTATGACATTTCACACAGCTATGGAATATCTATAGAATGATTTAGCAATACGATTGTAATCAGTGCATACAAATAAAAAGTCTGCCTCTTCCAAATGATCACACAGCATCAACGAGTTGTAGTAACTCATCATAGAAGTAGTGTCATTAGTCTCTGGCTCACCTCAGACTGCTTGGATTCATTACATTCGTTTTGGATTAATTACAATCCAATTGGATCTTTTGTTTCTACAGAATGTTGTCCCATATGTCTTTGCCTTTTTTAATTTGAAGTTTAAAAAGCATGTCAGTTCCCCTCCCTTCTCATCCTTTTTCTTTGCTATAAATGTTTTTTGTCCATACTTTTATTTTTACAGTCTAGTTATTGAGCTTGATCTAGGTTAGTCATCAATAACTGGGGGTAAATAACAAGTGATGTTTACGTCACCCATCACTGGGACAACTCTACAGACACTGAAGCCCTCTAGTGGGCACCAAACAAACTCGATCCATCCGAACTGAACAGTTCCACTGCAGGCTTCCTGTTGTCACTGTGAAATGATATATCAATACAAGCAAGAACACATGATCATCAGATGAAACCAGAGCAGTGTGAGAGCTGTTGGTCTGAACTATTTTAAGGCCTCAGATGAATTTTGGCAGTGGTCCGTCAGTCATTGATGAGTTCTTTGAGTGAGCTGGACAGAAGAAAACTGACCTTGAACTACAGCCACAATAATAAAGAACAAAGAAGAAACAATTGCAGTCCACAAGGAAGAATTACAATGATATATTTAGCTTCTGCTCTATTTCATTATTATCATGACATTTGCTTCTGAGGGAATCAGTTAGGGTCTGCAAAGGTTCAAAATGAGACTATGCAACTTACAAAAAGAGAAACAATACAATATTATTTTACAAATGAAGATGCAAACTCATAAGCAATTAAAGAAAATGCACTGTAGCTCTATTTACTACACTCAAAGCAGCCTTAGCTGATCTGGTATGACCAAGTAGATGGTGGCTAATGTTAGCTATTGTTCGATAAAGTTCACTGTTTACTGGTTTAAAGTTCCATAGTCTCGCTTCAATCACATTTAAACCTGCAATAATTGAGTCGTAGGCCACATGGGTGCAGCAAAAACAAGCTGCAAATGCAAAAGTGATTTAGTTGTCATCACATCCAGTAAATATATAAGGAGCAACTTCAGCATTCATTTGGGGTCATGTTTCTGGCCAGCTGATGAATTTAAGTCCAATATGCACTCTCCTTTTCGCTCTCATTTGGTCCACCAAGTGCTGATGGAAATATGTGGCTCTTTAGCTGCTAAATGTTCCACTATGTCCACCTGCTAGTTAACTAACTGTGTCTGTCTCATGTTTGGTGCTGAGCAGGTGTGTTTTGTTTTACTGTAAACAGCTGCCTGCATGAAAAACAACACTATAAAAGTATAAAGTAAAGCTCTGTGGAGCATAGGACAACTGTTAAGTCGGGTGCTAAAGAATATTCTGGGTTTGTCACTACAATCAAACCTTTTTTTATACAAGTGGTCACGTGATCCATGACATAAACATATTGATTATTGCAGCTTTATAGGCAATTTCATGGCAAATACACCACCCTCCTTTTAAAAAGTGTTAAATATTGTACTATTGATACACTGTTTAATCTCCGGACATTTTTTTCCTATTATTAGTATCTTTATAACTGTATCAAAATAAAAATAAAACATTTCCCTGAAACACAGCTGAGTGCTAATGTGTTACTGATGTTCAAGGAACTTAATGCTATTTGTGAAACCAAGTTCTTTTAAATCGCTGCATGGGGTTTTCATATGTCGCCTCTGACAACATCCATAGCACGCAGCCTGGTATTTCCCAGGGAGTTTCCATCCTATTCCTGTCCCATAGAATCCAGTCCCCCCCACTAGTTCCTCAGTACAAAGTCACATGCATGCACACACAGAAACAAACACACACACGGTGAGTTTATTACCTATAAAGTATTACACACAATGTAACCTTACTGTTAATTAGGAAACTAAACTTGGTTGCTGTGTTCTGTCTTGCTATTAAAACACTCAACCACCAGCGCTACGAATAGTCTCAAACAAGTCTGTCCTGCTTCTGCATTCCCCCCCACCCCATATCTGAGCTCTTCCAGGAAGAATTACAGGAAGAAAAAAAAAACAAGTCATGATGCTGAGTCAGAGAGGACACGTACCATTTATTTATGCAGTAGTGACAAAGTTCACAGTGAGACGCAAATATAATACGGGTGTGTGTGTGTTTGTTTAAGGACGTCTTACTGTAAGAGTGACAGGATGTCACAATAACAAAATCACATGTTTGTACAGGTATAACACATTTACACCTATTCTAACTCTTCACACGACCCACAATTCAGTTTTCATGTGTTTTCAACTATGCCCCTTGATAGCCACTGACGGTGTGACGGTGTGACTCGCACGCTCCTCCATCTGGTGCAGACATCTTTACACACACACACACACACACACACACACACTCAGATCTTGAGTTGCAGTAAGTGCACTTTCATCTACTTGCAAGACCGTTTTCAACAACAGCTTCTGCAACACACGCCAAATTAGATTTTGTTTGGAGGGAACTTGTACATAAAAGCCTTATAAATTTTAATCCAATCAGGGTGAAGGGAGGGGGTTTAGTTTATGGGTTTAACCTTACTGGTACACCTCCAGTCACTCTAGATATGAATAGCAGTAGGACATACAATCTTCAGAGAGCAGTTACATCATCTTACATGGTGAAGTGTTAAAAACGAAGAGCACAGCTAATTCTTTGGGCTTATTTGACGTCGAATTAGTAAACACATTTCGCCACAGACATTTAAACCCTAACCAACTATTTGACTGTTGAGCTATTTATAAAAGATTCCCAAATATGTGCACAGCAGGCTATGTGAGACAAAGCAAAGGGCACATTTTTAGAGGCAATAAGCTACGCATACCAAACAACACACATATGATGAATCGTCTTTCTTATATTTCTAATACTGATCCTACATAATAATGCCTATTGTTGTTATGATAATGATTAATGATTCATAATGACTTAATAAGGACTGTTGAATCAGATGGCAATGAAGGTGAAAATGAAGTGAATGACATTTTCACAGAAACAGCATCCAAATCAGTCAGACTGATGTTTTTTTTTACTAAATCGTATTTAAAATCTCTTATATTGAGTGACAAAAAAATTGATAAAGTTGTTATAAAACAGGACGAATGAGACAGCGGGTTTGGTTTGGTCCGATGAGGATTTGCTGCGTGAGCTCAGTGCGTCACGTGACAGTAAAGAAGCAGCTTCTCAAACTGCAGCAACCTTATTAAAGCTACAGTGCGACAAGCTCCGGTTCACAGGCCAGAGAGAGACAGAACAAAACGGGACTGGCCTGTGTGTGAGCGTCAACACGTTCACCTTGACCTGCTGATCCTTCCGGAGGCCGTTTGCAGACTCATTTGCTGTCTTAACACATCTCAATGCTTGTGCGATTAGTTGCAGGTTCAAACTGAAAACTTAACGGCTGCTTTGTCAGAAAACTCATCCTGAATCTATTAAATGTTGACATTTCATGATTTTCTTTCTACCCGAGACTTTCAACACAGCTAAATCAGCAGCAGAGGAGTATTTAACCTGCACGTGTGATGTCGACCACGGAAGCTGACGTCATCCATGTTTCTGAACATGGCTAGATTAATCTGCTTTGGGGCCCCGAGGAACACATACATTAATTAAACACATCAATTCATAAATATGCAACATGGAAGCACAAAACTGAAATAATGGAAGCCTTAACACAAGATTTTGACACAGAGGGCCTCAAGATAAATGAAACAGGACTCATTTGGTCACGTCTCTCTCTTACAAACGACATGTTTAGTTCATTAGCAATAAAATTGCTCAGTTAACAGGGATTTTGTGGCTACACAGCCGTACTTGGTCTGACCAGTAGCTAGTGGTGGCTAACATTAGCTGATGTCAGCAAACTTTAGTTATTACAGGAGGAACATGGTCTCCCTTTTAATGAGCTCCAACTGAGACACTCTTTATGGTCAGACTTAACTTAAACTGTCTTGTTTTAAAGGAATACATCCTCATAGAGCTGTTATTAAATCTGTTTTACACATACATTTATGACCACACCATCATTTATACGGTATCGCTTAAAAACACCCTGAGCACTGAGCTGCTAGTTAAAGCTCCCTTTATCTTTGCGCAGACCCACGTGCATTGTTATCTATAACAGGTCTGTCCTGCTGTCCACCGTGGGCTGCACGCAGCGTGGAAACGTCAGAGCCGTGCAGATTGTGACGCCCGCTTCTCGTGGCTGCTACGTCATTACGCTGCCAGCTGATCGGAGTGGGAAGCCGGTGTGCGCCTGAGTTGGGAGTGTGTGAATTTGAGAGAGAGAGAGAGAGAGAGAGAGAGAGAGAGAGGGGGGGGCGGGAATGGGGCAGGAGTTGTGTAAAAGGGGCTGAAGTCCTGCGCTGCCTTCTCTACTGCTGCTGCGACGCTAAGAAAAGTAGACTCCCTCGCGAAGCCTCAAAAGAAGATTTAAGGTTTTACATCCTTAAATACCTCAAGATCCACGTTTTCCACGACACACCCTGGTGAAGGTCCAGGACTCCGCCGGAGCAGCGGGGCAGCCTGAACTCCGCTGGACCGTCCAGATGGGTTGGCCGAGCAGGAGCGACCCGGCCGGTGGTCAAGGTGGGGCGTATTTACTGGCTGCGAGGCTGTCTGTGTGTTTCTGCTGGCTAAACGCTTCTTCCTGTCAGTCTGATTTAGCCTGTGGCGGCTTCATGACCCAGTTTGCGTTGAGACGGCAACTGGGAAAGCAGTCCTTAACATTATTCAAGTAAAATCCATCTCTTCAGGTCTGATTTCTGCGTTACAGCGGCAGCTTTCTGCAGACATCTGCGTCGTCAGATTGCGGAGGATATACAGTTGGGGGTTATAGGAGTTCTGGTTTAAGGCCTGTCTATGTGTCATGTATCATATCGTCCAGGCCCACTGACACAGAGGACCTGCTGTGAATTATGGGCACATTTAGAAATGTGACCACAACCTCCCAGCTCTTGCAAACATTTAATCAACATTTAGATGATTGACCCAGTGAGGCTTTGTTAATATGCTGCATGGAGTATCTGCACATGCAGGCTGATGGCAGCTAAAGAGATGCTTGAAATGTGCTTAAAAAAAAGTCAGAATTGTGTCTAAATTAACACAAAGGAAGAGCAGAGCCAGGAAATGCCCACAGACATCATGTTTTCAGTGCTTAAAGATTCACGGATGTCTTATTACATTAGCCTTAAGATAACTCATTCAGTCATTTGTGAGCACGTAACAGTTAAATGTTGTATTATAGGCTGAAGTGTGAAGTCTGCATTCAGGTCGTCTAAACGTGTTAGAAAGTGTCGGCGTTCAAAGCCCCTTCAAATTTGCTGAGTTCATTATAGGCCAAGGAAAAAGCCTGTGCTGAAGTAGGGGATAGGTGAAAATCAGGAAGATAACTATAGGGCCTCAGAAATGCAGTGACACCAGCAGTCATCTGGCAGCTCTTTCTTCAAATGAAAGATAAAGACAAGCATATTATGTTGAGACTTAAAGCAGGTGATGTAACAAAGTATGTAGGCCTCCGTGTCCCCTCAACGCATTTATATACACACCGTCTTTTACACGTCTATAAAACCTTTTTTAAAAGCAAAGTGCAGTAATGTATAAGCAATCTGTCTCTGAGATATTGGACAGGAGGGGCAAAGCTTGCTTGTAGTGTACGGTGGAGCTGGTCTTACATAATTATACAGCCAGAGTTCAGTGTGCTGACAGGAATGCGCAATAGACTGTGTCACGAGCTGCATTTGTGCCATTGCAACCCGGAGTGTGACATAAGCCACCCTTGTCAATGAGGATCACATGTGCAATGACAGGGCGTCGGTTGAAAATGCAAATCGTCTTCCCTACATGTGTCATTTGTCCTGCATCCAGGCAAACATTTTATTGCTTACATTTGCAGAAATGTAGCCATCTTGCTCAACTTGGGTTACACCCTTCATTCCTATTGCGTGCCTTGTCAAGGGTGGATGGGAAAAGAAAGGTATGTGTTATGAAGGTTTATTTAGGGGGGGAAGAAAAAAATCCAGTTCTTTCAAACAAAATGGCACAAACTGCCCGAGGACAGGCTTACGGGCCTCATACCGCACGCTACCATCTCCCAGGATGTCGTGAGTTCAGACTGGCATTCAGCTGTTACTCTTAGCAAGTAAAACAGCCCACACCCTTTTATTTGTACTAATCTCAGGGTTAAAGTCAGATAGTCCTGCAAACAGCCAGCAGCAGAGCATAAGAAGAGGCTCCCTGCGCTGTGATCGGTGTGTTGCCAAAGCCACCGCCCTTTCCCCGTCTTTCTCCCAATTCCCATGTCTAAAATGATCAGTCTATATTGCAGACTACAATCTGGGGCAGTGAACGCTCTCCAACCGGGCCACACCCACAGCAGAGGAATGCACCTGGAGTAATGTATGTAAAACGTTTAATCATCACGTTTCCATTCACACAGCCGCAGCAGCAGAATGCAAATCTGCAATTCCGGCCTACCTCATCATGTCGCCTTATTTAGGATTCCCCTAAATATGAGTGGGCTCGAAGCAGGGACAGAGGTTTGACCCACTCTCTATCATAATGGTCTTTATTTTGTTTTTCATCTTCAACAGAAGTGCGCTGCTTCTACCTGTTTGCATCTCATCTGTCTTTTGTTATTCATCTATTTCCGTAATATTGAAGCTCCCTAGATAAGGTCAATAATCCCTTATTGTACGTGGTTCATTCACACCCTCCTGTGTGCAAACCATCATATCCATTCCTCCCTGTTGTGGCAAAGAATGCACGTCCCAGATAAGCTCAGTCTTTTGTGTATCAGACTGTGTGTTATCTCCTTTTACACCGCTGCCCCATGTATAAAACCCTGTCTCAAGGCCTTCCACACTGGCTGTCAATGGGCTCAGTCTGACTCCCCCGCTCGGACAAGGCCAGAGAAAGAAAGGGAAGGAGAGGGGGAGGTAAGGGTGAACCTGGCGGTGGAGCCACGTCTGCCTCGTCCGGTGCAGACCAGCTGTAGACGAGTTGGTAGAGGAGAGGTGGGGGAAGGATAGCGGGATGGAAAAAAAGGAGTGGAAGAGACTGTTTGTTAATGTGGATGTACTCTGAGTCCACAGCGGCCGGGTGGAATTTTTAACATACGCAGCTGGAATGTCAGGAATGCAGGACAGTCTGATCTGACCAAGAAAGAAAGAAAGGAAGGAAGGAAGGAAGGCCCCAAAAAGAAGAAGAAGATATACGGGAAAGAGTAGCACAGTAATAGTCAGAAGGCTCAACACTGCCCGTCATTGTGAACATAAAGATACAGAGTCACTGTTTGTAGAAGGAGTGGCACGCTATGGAACAAATAACTTATTCAGTTGGAGGCAGCCGTAGTCGGCAGTTATGACTGTCAGTGGCCCTGTGTGTGGCCCGAGGACTTGTACTGTACGTCCTCCTCCCTAAATTCATTCAGACCAACACCAGCAGGGCAGGCCTGGGAGGGGGGAGGGAGGGGGGAGGGGGTGCTGAAAGTTAATCAGTCGACCTATAATGTCTCAACAGCTTTTGGACGGATTGCCACGACTTGTGGTTCACACATTCACGTCCCCCTCAGGAGGAATTGTAATAACATTGATGATCTTTTAACTTTTTCATCGAGCGCCATCATCGGGTCAAAAACGCTTCACTGTGGTTTATGACCGAATCCCTACAAAACTACCGTCATTCCCATCAGCCTCAGGTTAGTGCAATCCAGCAAATATTGGCATGCAAACACGCTAAACTAATATGGTGAACATTGTACCTGCTAAACATCAGCATGTTAGCAAGTTGACGTTAGCATTTTGTAGTCCCGAGTCTGAAGACACGTTGCACAGCAAATAAAAACCCTTCAAACGGTGTGCAGATTTATCTGTTTTAATTCTGCTAGATATCACTGTATATGCATGTCTTTCTAATAACTTCTTATATAAAATTAGCCTTTAGCTCGCATCACCACTGTGTCTAAGTACAGCCTCCCCAAGGTGCTCTAGTCTTGTTTCCTTGTGGCCAACCACGGTACTGCAAACATCCTGTTTCCCTCATTGACCACCTTTGTAAATGTCTGTTTTTTACAACGTCTTTAAAACTGTGAACCTGGACTTTTTAAGTAGCACTAAAAGTAAATGTATTACTCTTTGTGTAATGAGTTTTAATATTTGTCAAACTTTTCAAACCCTTCCCCTAGCATGACAATCGTGGGAGGAGGCACTAATTATACACGTGTGCAGTGGATCACAAAAAGAGGAAGCAAACCAGCAAGAGACAAAACCTCTCCGTATTACTGCCGTACGCACTAGTGAGCTCAAAGTGTGTGGCACAAGCCAAGTTTAAGTGCCAATGAACGTTGCCTTTTAATTAAACAAACTTTACTATTTACAAAAGATAAGCACGGGGTGTGGAGGTCGGCTGCATCAGTATTGTAAAGCAGCAAAAATGTCAAACCAACCAAATACTGGTGATGTGGAGACCGCATGAGGGAGCAGGCTGGCTTAGAGAGGAGGCACCGCCACATTCGGCCAACGAGCCTGCAGACTCCTGAAAGGGGAGAGCTGAAATCCTGCAGGGACGGCAACTTCCATTGGAATCACGAGCGCCATTTTGTAGTCCAGTTATCAGTTACAGGACTCGCTAAACTAACGCGTGATTGTAGAAGATTAATAAGAGCTTGCTTTAAAAGAAGGAAATGGAAGAAGGGAAGAAAGGAGTAGTAGATATGACTATGGATACATTTCGTGTCAGTGACTCACAAGTCGGAACAGGCCTCTGCATGCTGACTCACACTGACATTTGTCATGTCACCAGGAAAATGTTATCAGGGTTTTTCCGTGTACAACAGGTATATGTCTAAATAGAAATCACTCTCTGGTTCTCTCAGGATGATTCTGAAGTCAAATCCAACTTGGGTGTGAGACAAACTGATTTGTCCTCGTCTGTAAAAGTACTGTTGACCCCCCCC